CTTTTTTGGCAAGATAATTAGATTATATGGCCTTCCCCATCCAAATTTATTTTGTTACACTATATGTAAGAATCCTCGAATTCGAATCCGAAAAAATGAACAAACAAGAAGCAAGATAATTTACGAAAAAATTGGGACCTTGTACAACCCTAGACTTCCAGTCTCACGCAAAATTCATGACCATTTTCCTTGTGAAACAAAGCGTTCGCCTTTGGCGTATTGTCTGTGGCCGAACCGCTGAGCACCCAAAACAAGCACGATGCGCTCTGTCCACAACACGTGTGGCCATGCCTGATGCCATCAGGAACTTGCAAGTCCGGCTAAAATTTGTCGAGAATGGCAGTGCTCTCCCTCCATGGCACACAGGCAGTAGGTGGCCTGCGCCAGCCTATCGGTCAATATCTTGTTGCTGATAACAAAGTAACATAGTGTGGCAAGAATTGGGATGAAGATCAGCACTCCCACAGGGATGGACGTCTTTCGCAAGATCCAGTCGAGCCATCGGAAGGACCGTCCACGCAGTGGCTTGCAGCTCTGGATCAAAGCCGCATTTTGCTCACCGGCGAAGGCTGCAAACAGCATCTCGTCCACTGTGACCAGAAAAGTTAAGGCAAGGCTGTTCAAGATAAGGTCAGAGACATTTCGTACAGATAACAGGTATCTGATACCGACTATAAAAATGCAGCACTGAAGAGCACTGCGCGGTAGCAGGTTCGACAATATCGTCAATAGCCGATGTCTTCGTGTCAATCCCACAACCTCCAATACTGTTTCCTCATCATCTGCATCCTCTGCAAGTGTGTAGAGCAGGCAGTCTTCAGCCTCTGCTGTGGGCATGGAGCTGACGATATTCCACCACACCTTAGCTGCCCTCAAGAGCCTTGAGAAAAGTGCGAGGGCATCTTCGCCGAAACAATCGTTGTAAGACTTTGCAATAGCAGCTGAGAGGCCAGAATGTTTCGGAACTCCGTGACGGATGCTAAGCCCCAAAGAAACACGATCAAGAAGAGGAAGCCCTGGAAAAGAAGCGAAGTCAAGCCGAAGGTTGGATCTGAGTAGGTCTCGCTGGCTGAATATGTGACGGTCTTCTTATTGCCTGTTATCTGGCTTGTTTTCTTGCCACAGATGTCTGCCCGCTGCTCCAGGAAGAGCGCTGACTGCACAGTGTAGATTCTCTGGCAGAATGTTCTGACTGTGTTCATGCAAACGTTCAGCTGGCTAAGGGAAGCGGTGCTGCTTAGACCTGCAATCTTTAGTAACATTGGCACGGACGAAGAAACGTCAATGGCCAAACTTGGAAGTAGCTGCCCATGCTGCAGATTTCCACAAAGATCACTCTCAGGAAGAAAGCATAAATGCGCAAACCTTGCAATTTCCACCTCGTAGATATGGCGAGGTATGGAGGTATAATTTATGATGCATTCTTCTTGCTGCATTTCTTGCACTGCGCCCTGCATGCAGCTCCTGAACGCTCGGATGCTGGTGATGTCCTCAATTGGCAAGTCGACCGGAAGGTGACTCAAACCTGCAAGTGCCAGGCTGTAGGAGCCCCCTCCACAGGTACAGCAGAGCTTCTTCACCTGAAAGTCATCATCATCCCATGTGCCAGAACATGCATCGAAGCCGTTGTAGCCTGCACAGGCAAGCTCGCTAGAGTCAGTTGCACCATTGTCCATGTCTATACACTTGGGCACGCTGCAGGCGTAGATCGAGCCATTGAGCTGTCGGCGGAGCCTGCTGGTCGGCAAGTATCTCGCCCAAGAGCTCTGTTTCGTGGCATCGGCGTAATTGACTACTACATGTCCATCACTGGTGATGTTGCCAATGGTTGCATCAGACCAGAACCCTTTGTCGCTGTCGAAGGCTTGAACAGGATCATTCATTGCACAATCTGCACGCCTGGGTCCTGCATAGTGCTGCATCGTGCGAAAAACGTTTTTGTAAAATTCTGTCATGTTGACGTGGCGCCCTGTTGTCTCAGCATGGCCCCTGCTGAGGGCATCCGCCTCTTCGAACGTCCATCTACCATCTCCATCACGATCCAAGTTTGCGAAGTCTGCGCTCAGTGCCACCTCATCTGGTGTGCAGGATATTCGGGTCTCACCCTCACGCTGCCAGCATACACCAGGAGCATCTATAGCGCTGGCTTGCCCAAACAGCCTGGTCTTTAACAGGCTCTGATTGCCTGTAGTTCGTTCGGACAGCAAATAAACAACTGAATATTGCAAGAAGAAATTCACCAACAGCAGAAAGTGAGCCTTCCCAAATATGCTCTTAGTGATCACGCGCATGAGAAAGGCATTCTCATATGCGGATTCCGCAAGCGTCAGTGTTCTGTAGCCGAGCACTTCGCGCGTCGACGTCCGCATTAGCAATCGATTCTTCGTCTTGCCTGAAGGAGTCTTTCCCAAATGTGGTTTGCACCCATCACAGTTAAGAATTCATGGTTGTACTTTCGCAAGGCAACCAAAACGACAAGCTCATGTGCCAGTGACGGAAGCTTAGTGTCTAAAGCCTAAAGCTGTGCGGAGTCAAAAAACAAATCTCAAAGTCAGAAAATTCCCAAGCCAAGGCCCCCGGCCTTTCATGCTCACACCAAACAATGCTACTGGGGATGTCGGTCTTGGAGCATGGGGAGCCAGGGGAGCCTCATGGCCCGTGTGGTGGGTCAAGCTTGGCCGAATGGGTGACTCCACATCACCGCTTTCAGCACGGCACGTGCTGTTGGTTGGGTTGCTGGCAGGTGGTTCGTGTGCCACCTTTGCCATGGTGTTGTCTTGAGCCCGCGGCTGCAACCACATGCATTGCGCAATGGGCGCAGCAATCACATGTATCCCTGCGTCACGCAGGGAAGCCCTGCGGCGAGCATCTCTCCAGTTCATGTTAATCCGCCGAGGCCCTATGCCGAAAGCGTTTGGGGTAGAAAAAACACCAGCCTTTATCCCTTCTCCCGGGCAAGGTGCCCGACCCTATTTTGGGGTCCGGGGTCCTGAGACAAAATTGATTTTTGTCGCGGGGCATCACACAAAACTTTATGGACTTCCTAGGGACTCCGCCGTAAAGCCCTATGGACCCTCCATGATTGCCCCCTTCCGGACCTTCCTGAGACCTTCTGAACCCCGAAAAGTGTGTCCTGCAATCCCTTCATTTCCCCTCTCTCCGGGCGGGCTCTCTTTGTCCATTTTTGAGGCACATCGGGAGGCGCCAAATTTCACTAGTGAAGGAGCGTCGGCATGATTACTTGGTTTGGAACCCTATACCAAGGAGGCAGGGATCTCGCAGTAGAATGTGCCGAGTCAGTATCGACAAAGATGAAACACCTCTTGGAGGACAGCAAATAGGCCCTCAAATTTACCCTGCAATGGTAACTGCAACAGTTTCAAAGGCCGCAATCAGAATCACATGTTTCGCATCGCTCTGTAGGAGCTGCAAAACGTTGGGCGGCACCATGGCAAAAAAACATGGTCGGAGCTGTCTGTTCACGGCACCACAGACGCAACGGACTGCTGGCACTCAAGCTGCACATCTGCGAAAATCACGGCTGCGCAGTCTGCAGAATGCACAGGCGCTTGCTCCGGGGGGCAATTGGCCAGGAAAGATTTTCCCAGTGAAGCTCTTCCGACATCCGTGCGTAGGCTAAGGTACCCGGTTCCATTCGGTTTCTTTCCAGAGGCACGAAGCATGACACTGCCCACACGACGGCCGAACCACGGCGACTCAGCGAAATGAAACCTTCCCATCAATGATGCTGCATGCGGTTGTGTCGAACAACTGTTGGACAATGCAGCCCCACAAGACCCTCCTCAACGTCGATCTATGGGATACCGTGGGACCGAAACAGCCCGCAACTACAAGCTGAGCCCCTGTCCCTTCTGGCCCCCTCTGGGGTTCTGGCCCCCCTGTGGACCCCCTGACTCTATGGACCGCTTCACAGACCTCCTCTGGACCCCTTCATGGACCCCTTCATGGACCCCTTCCAACCCTCTGGACCCACCTTGGATCCCCCATTCGCCACTATGGAATGTCATGGAAGGTCGTAAAAAAAGGCCCTACCCATGATCTGCACCCGGGCCAGGCCAAGGCGGTGTGCACCAGCGTTAGAATATCACCAGAGCAAGCAAAAGCACGACATGTTTTTAAGCTCCCGAGCTGATCGCTAGAAACTCCTTCACCTGCTTGTCACTAAGTGAGGAGATGATACGCCTTGTCGAGTCAACAGCCTCAGCAATTCACCCTCGAAATACATAGGCCTGCACTTTTAGAACCTTTAGACAGGCTATGGCGACGTGAATGTCAGAGCATCGCAACAAGTTTGTCAGCTTTGGCCTAAGATGATCCTGGATTGATTTTTTCCCCCGTACAAGCACGTATGGTAAGACCCGCGCAGCTTCAATAGGCAAGCCCACGGCATCCTCAGGAATTTGAAGCTCTTGGGATCCGGAAATTCAACACACTCGAAGTCTTCGGGTCTACAAAATTCGCGTACGCACAGATGTCTACCGAGAAGCTTGCAAGAAGACGCAGGTATGAATTCAACTCACTTCAATACAAGCTCTAGACTCTAGCCAATAAACCCTCTGAGGTCTCTGCCATGTGAGTTTCGCACTTGGGGTCTAATATGTTGCGACATGTTTGATTCCTTGTGCTGGCACGAGGTCCTGCAGTCGAGTCGTGTCAAGCTCTGCCGCAGCTTTTGCCCCGGCTCCTCGCACTGAGACTGCATATGAGACTCGAAGGCTGGTCATGTGACACTGGTCAATCTGGCAATCTGCGACAATCTGTGACTTGGAACAGGATGAGGTCCACGGACTTCTGGAGCTTGCCACTGCTCTCCACATTTCAGAACTCGATCGCTTAGCGCCGTTACCTTCGGTTTGCGCAAGGAGGAGAGGGATATGATACGGTGATGCCGAACTCTAGCATGAAATCCAAAATCCGAACAAACCACTGGAATGCACAGTTGTGCAAAGGATGCCTTTGGGTTCTGAGGGATGGGGCCGACGCTTCGCAACATTCTAAGAGTCTAAGAAGCCCTTGAAGCGCGCCTGTACTTCCCACAGTGCATGGGGGGGGGGCATTGGGGCATTGGGGCATTGGGGCTTTGGGCGTTGCAGGAGCGTATGATGTGCAAGTCAACAGCATGGCGACGAAACCGCTGTCGGCTGGCATCATTTGCTCAGACTTTCAGACTGCACCTCTGTCAGAAAAGGAAACTTAGGCTCTCGCAATGTCTGGGTAGGACACCGTGCCAGGATTGGTGAAATTCAAGACTCCAACAATGCGTCTCTCTGCCAATACCGGAAGAAGCGGCATGAGGTCATCCAGTATGGTGACCGACGTCTGAACGCTATCGACCTGCTTGAAGCGTGCCTGGGAACTGCATCAAAAATCAGGTTCAGCCAGAAACGCAGCAGAGCTATGCAACGCTGTGCAGAAGAAGCAGAGCTTATTAGGATGCATCTCGAGTGCCAGTTTTCCAAGCAAGCCTCGCGGATCCAAATCTGAACTCAGAGGATACAGCACTCTGAGCACCAGCACATTGTTGAAGTAGGCAGTCAGCTCCTCCATTTTTTGCCTAAGTGCGGTGTACACCCCCGGTGAGCCACCGTTTGGAGCATCTGTTTCAGAGAACTTGCGCTTCCCACTGGCCAGGTAGAGGGCTCCGGTGCCCAGAAGGATTAGGTGCAAGCCCCGTTCATGACATGCCGCTGCCACCGACAGCTGCCCGGTAATGTTGGCGTCCACAGTCTCTACCGGATGCGAATCACACCAGGCAATGTTGGGCCGTCCTCGCTCACCTGCAGCACAAATGACACCCAGCTTGGGCTTTTGTTCGTCTAGCAGGGCCTCAAGACCCAGCCGATCTTTCAGCCTGAGTCGGCTGGTGTGGACGACATGCTTTGCCTCCAGGTTTCGAAGGATGCTCGCCCCCAAAAATCCAGTAGCGCCAAGCAGTATGAAATCGGGCTGGGATGCTGCGATCGCCATGGCGAAATACAAGATCAACAAGCCCTGCACGGGGCGCCCTGCTCCTTGGAAGTCAAAGTCGGACCCAGTAGGCACGAGAATATGTGTGTGAAAATGTTACGCGGTGCTAGCTGAGGAAGGCAGGAAAATGCATCTCAGCCAACAACAAACATCAACAGCCACACTTTTCGTCCGAGTTCTGGATGGGCACAAATGTTCCTCTGCTGACCCTTCAGAAGCTTGGACGACGCCTTCCTGCTCGGCCACCTCCTCTTGCAGGGAGAAACTCAGCTAGCGATCTTAAAGCATCAAGCAGCCAGATTTGGCACGGTTTCCGTTGCTTCACTTCAAAACACACATTACCACGCAACATATAAAGAACTTCAGTAACTGCAGGTTCTGTTTTGCCGCTGTGAAAGACATGAAAGCTGCGGCTCTTTGGCAAGGGATCCCTCAGCTTGTCCAGCGGGTCAACCCATCGCAGCTACAGCTGCGGAGGGGGTCTGGTACGGTATGGGCGCACCTGCATCTGCCATGGTTTGCTGCGCCGTGCTGACGTTAAGGTGCAGGATTAAGCAGACAGATGCCTGAAGCCTGAAACCCATGGAAGCAACATGTATTCGGGGCGTGACATGAACCCGAAATCAATCATTCGGTTCGCCGGGCACTGGGTAAAGCTTGATCCAAGCGGAGTCGGTACGCATCTGAGTAGGACATGTGGTCACTGCAAGCCTGCCGCTGCACAGGCGCTGGATTTTCGGGTGGCAGAAGCTTGTTCGCGTTGTTTGGCGCAACTGCATCCTCCGCTATCTCCCCGCATGCGCATCTGGTGCCCAGGGCCGAAACAGCAGCGATGCTCGAAAAGCCTATGTCCTCTGTCCAATGCTGTCTTGTGTACACCGTTGCGCTGCGCAGTGCTGCTTTGCAGTCGATGAAAGGGGTGAAACAGCAGTACGCGGCCGAAGCCGCGCTCACATGCAAAGTTGACCTGTTGGTCTACAATGTCTACACTGGTCTGCATTGCTAGCAGTCTTCCCAGTCACATTATCATTCGGCTGTACCAAGGTCTGTTGTTTGCAGAAAGGTCTGGTTGGCTGACTTCGCCTTTGCCTTGTTACAGCCATACCACGCGGGTGGTGATTCTGGGTTGGAACAAGGAAGCCGAGATGCGCTGAACTCGGTCAAGATCTCGGTCAAAGTAGCAGCTGCCTGGCTGAGACAGGCCATACATGGCAAGAATAAGTCATAATAACAAGCCGCACTGCCAGATCATCCGGAAGGTTCGGCAAGTTCAAGCCCGAACACACGGCGGCAACACACACTCTTCATGGGCAGGCAGGCACGCGCAGGTTTGGCGGACAGCGACCTGCCGGACTCAAAGCATAGAGCCCTTCTCAATAACTTACAATGGCTTGGTTGCCACAATCCTTACACCTAACCCATGTGTCCATCAAACGAGGCATGGACCTCTGAGCAGCAGCTGACTTGATGTCTCCTGGGCCATTCTCAGCAGATATGTGAACCACCTACAGAGTGTTTGTCCTGAACAAACTGCTTGCGCAACCCATTTCGCCCAGATGTCCCGAGCTTTGATGGGAGTGCTCCCACCGCCACAAGTACTAGAAAGAGAAGCAGGCAGGCCGGCGAGGCGAGAAAAGAATGTCAAATCCAAGGTCACGACGCTGGGGCGAATTGGTCTTGATCGGCGGCAGGACAAATGCACACCTGTTCGTGGTTAGCACGAGGTCGCTTGGGTGTGCGAAACTTGAAGGTTCCTGAGACCACACTTCGGTTTCTCGAAATGTGTGTTACACCAGGCAGATCTCCATGGACTGCTACGGTCTCGGGTGCGCGTGCAAGCGCGTGGCGTCCAAGCAGCTTCAAACTTCAAAGTGGCCAGCGTTCAGAGCAGTATAATTACGGTAAGTACAGTACGATACCAATACATTGCTTGGTTCGCACACTGAGGTGGCGGCCTTGGTGGGCCTGGAGCTGATCGACTGCGCTTGCTGCTCGTCAGCCTTCGAAACAAAGGACCAGTCCCAAAAGAAGACTCCGCAGACATGACGAAGGAATATCAAAGAAGGAACTGGCACAGCATGTCACGGCTGTGCGAGCAATTCTGTTCAGAATCCTTCGAAAGCACATGTGCATCGAACTTTTGCAGCCCATGTGTAATTAGGTTCAACCTTTGCCAGGTTCAGCATATCTGCGACGATCACAGACATCTTGGAGTAGGCCCATGAGAAAGAGGTGAATCGAGAACTAGATAGACTCTAAACATCGGGTACCTTGGAGAGGATGTCGCTTGCCTTGGCTGTGCCAGAGCAATGACAGTGATGTGCCAGCGATGTACCAGCGATGTACCAGTAATTTCTTTCACAGTCAAGGTGACTCTTGAAAAACACGCTGGCCTCGGTGATCGTCTTCCAGCTGCGGCTGCAGACGCTCCTCGAGGCCTGAAACGGATCATGGGAACTGCATAATGACAATGAATGAAGACTCGGTCATCTACACAGCACTTCAGTGCAATGCGCGAAACGCAGCCCGCTATGCTCGCCCACGGCCAACTAGGTCTGATCACAGCATTCTGTGCTTCTGCATGGCAGCTATGGCCAAGCGGCAAGGGCGGACGGCCAGAAGGGCCTTCCTGCAATCATCACACACACATGAATTCAATGCACTGCCCTTGCCAAACCCCTGCACTAGCATTCTTTGCGACCCCATATGGTACCTCCTTGGAGTCCTTCTTTTTCACCAGGTGCAGTGGCCTCTCCGTGTTAGAAGCATCACCACTCCATGACTATAGCCGTCGTATGCTGTCGTCGAACTTCCTTCGTCTGCCCCACTCAGAGTGCCATTAGCTGAGGGCAGAACTTGAACAACTCCCGTACCCGACTCTCGATGTTTACAAGCTGCCTGGGCGTGCAGGGCATGTGCAAGGCAAACGGGAGTCAGTCCAGCCAGCGCGGCCAAGCGGATGTCCAGCCAACCACACGCATGCACACAGAGTCTCAACAACACCCAAAAGTCAGAACAAAGCATCATGGCTTCAATATCCCTGGCAAGAGCTCTTGTGCCTCATCCGGCTTTTTGTTTATTCCGTCTTGGGCCAAAAACTGGACACTTTGCTGCTGGGCTGCTCTCGAAGCTTCGTGGCGCCCTCTGGGGGCGGCCAGGCTCGCTCGAAGTCCTTGTGCTGTGGTGGGCTGCACGACAGCCTTTCATCTACTTCGTTTGTGCAGATCGGTTTTGAGGTTGCAGGGGGGTCCGGGATAAACCTTGACACTAACGGCGCTTGAAAGTGGACCACAATAGAAGTTCTTATTCTTGACAGTAATATCATTAATCATATACTGCTCTGCAAAGGCAACGGTGCTGCACATCGGCACATGTTGTTCAACGATGCGTCGCACATCTCAAGAGTTGGAAAACACAACATGCGAGGGCATCTTGGGAACGGCGTCGACGGCACAGTGTCAGTGCTGCAATGAATCATGCTCGGATTCTGACGAGCAGCCTCAAAATTCGACTCATCGCGCTTGAAACTCACAGATGCGAGACTGTGTCGCGGAACAAAGTACGAACAGCTGAACAGTTGCGATCATCATCTCGCGCATGTGGCCCACATCTGCTCTGGGAACAAAAGCTATGGCTTTTTGCATCATGTGTTTGCACAAGAGCTTGTGCCGCATGTTAAAACGGCCAGGTGGCAACTCAAAACTTGTGCCTGAGCTTGCTCCGCAGCGCACAGGCACAACTTCTTCGAATCACCTCATGGCCCGCTCAAGCATTGGGCTTGCTGAAGATGGCCCTGCCTCATCACAGGTCAACGCTGGTCGACGTGATTACTCATGCTGCATCTGGTGAAAGTTGACAGCCCTGTTTATGTGAACCTCCATCTTTCAAACATCATGATCGCACGATGGATGTTGAAAGGATTCATTTGTGGTCTGAATGGCTTCAGACTTCAGAGAAGGGGTTTGCAAGAAATCACATGGGCTTCGACTTTGGGCGGACTCAGATTCAGTATCATGCCGTTTGAAGCACACATGCGTGGCTTACAAAGCGTTGCGGCTCGCAGCCCCCCAACTGCAAGCACAACGACCGTATCAGAGGCTTGCGCAAGGGAACAGATGGATTCCAAAAGGACAGGAGATGATTGGAGTACTATTGCATTGATAGCACGATGTTTTCTTGAAAAAAAGCAGCAAGCACACACGTGTTTGGGTGGGGCGGTCTCCCTGGGTGCCAGTGTCGGCCGGCATGGAAACAACTCCACCTATACAATGGCTTTAGGATTAGAGCGTCTACAAGTGTACGGCTGAGGAGGTTACGGTCAGGGGCGGCTCTGCACTTTTGACTGTGTCCCTCACAGCAAACCAGGCAAGCTCATATTTACCAGGCCAGGGAGGCTCAGGCAGGGCAACTGTACCGAAATGCTGATTTTGCTAGGCAGGCCAGGGAGTCTCAGGCGGACATGCCGACATGTTGCCTGAATCCTTGCAATTGGGTGCTAGGGGCAGGGCGGACAGGTTCGAAGTGGTAGTTCTGTATGTCAGTTCTTCTCCCTTCCTGCTGTCCGTCTGTCGTACAGCCCCTCCCCCCTAGCTCTTCGCCCCCGCACCTCACCCAACCCTTTCCGCCCACGCGTCTCGATGCCCACCCCGCCCCCACGCCCCTCACGAAAACAATATAAAGGCGCCAGGGCGCAGTACCTGAAACCGTTTCACTAGAAACTGGTCGGAAGTGTCCAGGGGTTCTTCGCTCTTTGAAAGCCCAGTGGCTTGACACATGCCGGGCGGATTCCATGGGGGGGTCGGTGTTTCGATGGGCTTCTCGATCATACCTACAATCGTAGAATCGTCAGAGGGGGTGTCGGGTCACTGTCTCAGTCGGTCTCGGTCGCTGTCCCCGGCCAGCTCTTTGTCGGGTGTGCCAGGCAGCACGCCCGTGTTCGCATCCCGGCCTGTGTCTCGTGTGTCTCGGTAGGTGTTTTGATCGGTGAACGAGGGGATCCGAGGGGTATCTGACTCTGGAATGTCAGGGGAGGGGGGTGAAGAGGGATCTTGGGAAGTCAGGGGAAAAGAACATGTAGTGCATGGCCCAAAGAGACTCTCTCCCGCTTGGGGGCGAGGGGTGGGGCTGGGGGCGGTGGCCAGCGAAAGACGCACGAGTTCAAATGGGTTCAACACTGAGACACAAGAAGGTAGGCTCAGAGGGTCAACAAGAAAGATGGGACGGCGAACATATGTGCATCAACAGGTCGGCTTGATTGGAGGGTCGCACCAGCCATGTCCATGAATGAGACTGGTAGGATTCCACCGTGGGCTGTGGCGGGGGCAGTCTGCGCAGTGAATGCTACGCTGCTACACTCAACCGGCAAGTACAAGTACTCTGCCACTGAGCCCACGGCGAGTTCATCCAGGATGGAATTCAAAGTTGCCAAAGATTGAGTTGCCACCTTGACCTAACATGGACGACGCATTTGGCCAACCACTGCACGGGATTCAGTCTACACAGTTACTCAGCTATTTCCGTGGCTTCGTCCAAAGCAGGGTAGAACGATGAGATGCAGCCCTGGATTATTCGGTGCCTGTCGGAGATCGCAGCCAGGCCGGCATCGGGTGCTCAGGGCCTCGAGGTGGCGCTGAAGCCTCGGACCCAACGTCCTACCACTACTTGCCATGAACAAGTTTGAACAAGCAAGGTGCAAGCAAGGGCAAGCTCGAGATCCCACGCTGACCATGTGCATCTACAAATATCTACAGTATGAGCTGTTGTACCAGGTTGTGGATGTTGGGACACGCGGTGCCGCGCTGTGCCAAGCTAGCTCGAGCTTTCTGCGCATCTCACCCGAGGAGCCGACGCCTTCAGCTCTTGCAGATACGAGAAGCGAGTCGCAATGGTCTTGGTGACGCGGCTTGCGCTGGGCCTCATCGAGATTTGTCACCAAAACTTTGCTTGCATTCTGCATTATAGTCGGAGATGATATACTTTGACTACAAGACCCACGACAAGGTACCCGCCCTCTTCACTTCTGAACTTTCTTCAGAACTTCGCAGCAGCTATAAGACTCCGACCCTGACAGCTGGATGGGACCAGGGTTCTCGTAGAGTTCCTGTCGCGAAGGCAACAACCCTCAATACGAGCTCCTGCGTCCCAGCGAACGACATGTGACTCAAGACCACCTGCAAGACCCCACTAAGGTTCTCACTTCTTTGGCGCAAGCTGCACGGACCTTGAAGCAATTCCGCACAACAGACAAAAATCCAGAAGGTCTAAAGGACACAGGGACAAACAACCTAGACGATTGTAGATTCGCGATCACATGATAGATTCTCCGGACTACTGTGAATGCCGGGAAAGCGGATGTTTGTGAAGGACACACCATGCACGGCTGGCCTCCTTCCAAGATCTAAATGCTCCGCTCTCCAGCTCCACCTGCCGTTGCGCAGTTGCGCAACTTGCGAACGAAAACCAAGTGAGGATTCCGGAAGATATGGCGCTGCCGGCACAGCAGCAGAGCAGTAAATCGGCTCTCTGAGATTTTGTCTTCTAAGGGCATGTGTGAGGGCACGTGTGAGGGCATTCTTGTGACTCTCCAGGAGTTGACGCTGCTCATGCGACTGGAACTACTGAGAACTACTGCCTATTGTACCGCCCGGGCTGCCGCAGAGCCCAAAAAAAAGCAAACCGTGTGCGTCAGCCTTCTGATGCTTTGTGGCCATGTCTTATTTTACAATAAGGGCACCGAAGATGTGGCAGCACACCACACAACTTCAGCAGCTGGCAGGAACTGCGGCCAGTGACCAGACATAATAGATTCAAGCGTCGTCTTCGGAACTACTGGAGCCAATGTTTCGCAAGCAAGCATCAGCATCCTCAGCTCATACCATGTCAGCTTTGGAAAGGAATACCTGGCGCCACACTAGCGCTATCCTAGCGCCTACATTGGGGAGAGCCCGAAACCTACATATACGCATGGTGCCGCTCTGTGGCGAAGACATAAACCAGCAAGAGCGGAACTTCATATCGCACTTTCATCAAATTTTACATACATAGTATTTTGACGTCCGCCCATATGATATTGTACATCACAGCCCTTGTGCTGCACAGTGGCCGCGTGCAGTCCATCTACTCATGCTACAGGTATATAAGCAAAGGCGACTATGGCCGCGCCATGCATACTCCCCAATCCGAGCGTCTACCTCAGGCTGAGGTGGTCATACAGTACAGGCTGGAGACAGTGATAGCATCGTCTTGCTTCACCAGATGCCATGGGACTGGGCAGATATGGCAGGGCAACGGGCAGAAGAGATGCTCGATCTTGACTGTAGTCTCATTCCTTGCAGACGGCCTTCAAAAACCTGATGCATAGTGTTTCTTGCAGTTAGATTCTTCTATGTGCAGCTTGCAAGCGGAAGAAAGCCTTTCCTGCCCCCGCAAACTGGAATCAGCACATGCCCTTAGCAGCCTGCATCAGACCCCCTGAAAAGTTGAAAAATGACCCCGAAACCTTAACCCTCTACCCTCGCAGAGACTGCGCCTTGTGCGGGAAGATGCCTGGTCGAGGTCGGAAGGACTCCTTGGGCAAGGTGGGCGGCACCTGCAGGTATCTGAATTCTGCAAGATTGGATAGGGAAGCAATCGCTGGCCAGATGAACGCCATGTCCCCAAAGCCCAGAACCCAATCAGCGAGTCATCGACAAGCTTGCTGAAACAGAAACAGCATCATTTCAACATGCTTCATCGGCAGCATGTGTTCAGTTCCAAGCATGCGGTTTTGGTCGATGCATCATGCAGCCAATGCCCTCGGACTTTATGCAGGGCCCCCCCCCCCCTTGACTGTGCCATCCCTCCAGTTTAAACTGTTTGGAGGCCTTGGAGGAGCCTACTTGCTCAGAATTCCCCAAGCTGTTTTGTTTGGGGTGGTGGGACAGACTAAACCAGGGTGGCTGATTCTTGTAGCACAGTTCTCCAAGGTAGTGCACCGAATGCGAACCGCATGCGCTGAGGCTGAGGTGGGTGTCTCCGGCTGTGAAGGGATGCGAATGGTGCCTCCTGGCACCTCTGCTAAAAACGAAACATAGCCGAATGCGTTTCAAGAATTTTCAAGGTTCGGGAAGTGCGTCGTCCTCAACCTGAACTCGGCAACTGACTTCTTGCCAGGTGTTTGGCGCATAGACTCTTGGCGGCTCGCAGCTCCATTTCTCTTACGTTTGGTCAGCTTCAGGACTTGTGTGAGGTTTGCGGAGGCGGGGCGTTTCAGTTCTCCTGACATCTCGGGCTCCGTGTAGCATCTTGCAGCTCAGAATGCAACCAGATCTTCTTGGTTATACGGTTCTGTACGCTTTATTGCTTCGTCAAAGCCGTAAGCTGCGAATGTTCGTGACAGCTGCCTGCAGCATTGCCGTGAATGGAACGCCTCCGACGTGCCATCCTGAATGCCAGCGGAGAGGGTGGCTGTCAACATCTCATGGAGGACAATTTTGGGGATTGTTCGCACTGCTTGGCCACTTTCTTGTGGTGGAATGAAAGAGTGAAAGTCCGAGTCTCGTGGTTCGGGTGTGCCTTCTGTGGGGCCCCAACATCGAGCAACTTCACCGGATAAGCCGTGTAGGTACAAAACTTGGGGGCCCCAACCACTGATCATACATGCTGATCTCAGCATATATATATATACACATACACACACATCTATATATATATATATACACACACACATGCAAGTATGTGTTAAGCTGGGATGGAACTCCGCGATCATCAGGCCCGGACGTTCAACTGGTTGAGCCAGGTCGGAAACCACTGCCTCTCACCGTTTCGGTCACTGGATGTCACTGGTGCAACACCAGACAAAAGCACAAACACATAATGACCCGATCCATTCCAGCCCTGGGCTGCAAACCATGTAGCCGTTGTGGCCCCTGCAGCCCAGGATCGCAGCACAGCCACCTGCCAAGACTCGCAGGGCCTTTTCTAACGTGTTGGCTTCGATTGATCCGATCAGAAGGTTTCTGAATGTCGAAGTCTGCGAAGAACAAACGAACATTCATGGAAGTCCGTCATCCCCCCGAAGCCTATAGCAGACTCCATGAGGTCGATTGGTGCTACTGGGTAGCACTCAATAGGAATCTTGTGAGCTGCGTGATCTTACGAGTGGTCTTAGATCAAGGATTGGCAAGGCATTCGCTGCACATGACTGTGATTCCTACACTGTCCTAGATCTCCATGCAAGGCCCACCTAGGGCATATGCATAGTCGCTGTCGAAGTCGGACGGAACTGAGCAACGTGCCTTCCGGGGGGAAAGATGATAAGTCTCTGCAGTCTGCAGCTTGCCCCCGCAAACGGTAAGGCTGCTTTCCAGCCTGGTAGCCCAGGAACTGGCAGACAGGCGAAAAGCTGCCCTTGAACGTGCCCTGACAGGCAGCGCACCACGACTGGCGGGTCAGAGTCGCTTGAACTTGCATTGTTCGTCTAGATGAGCACGGGAGTAGCAACCGCAAGACTGCGCCTGCTTCTTGCGATGCTTTAGCTCGTCTTCGACCTGTGCAGGGACGTTGCTTTTGCCTCCTCACTCTCTGTGTCCAATGGTGGACAGGACCGCTGTGCCAAATGCCTACAAAGGCAAGGGCAGGATGCCGTCTGACATGTCAGCTGCAAGGTGACCAGAGAGGGAAATCGAATTTGGTATCGTCTTATGGGTGGATACCTGGGTTTGGCGGGTGGGTTCCTTCAAAACCGAAGACTTGAGATTGGAGAGCCCGGGCCTTCCGGCAAAAGATGATGTTCAACATTCCAATTGAATGCCGGATCCAGAATTTAAGATTCCAGGGAGAGACCTTGAACCTTAAATCTTGGATCCGGCCATTCCAATGAACTTCCACATGTCTTTCCCTTTTGCGTCCAGATTGTAGGAGTTTACTGGTTTTGGTGCTTAGGAGTCCGGGCTAGCGGCTCAGGCCAGTCAGTCGGCTTTAGGGTCTGAGCGGGCCTTAGGTTTCTTGAGCCCCGAAGCCTAAACGGCGTGAATTATCATTTCGGGTCTTGGGGTCAAGTTTGGGGTACAGGGCTTTGTACTAAACCTTAAGCTCAACGTAGAAAGTCCAAACAGAGCGGATCCTAGACTATTTAGCCCTAGAACTTTCCAGGAATATTACAACCACTGCAGCCATCTTGCGGATGCTCCCATTCGAGCCTGCCCAAAATTTCAATAGGCCTTTGAGTTTTTGCGATCGTAGGACAATGTGGAATTATTGGGTGTCGCAAAGCTAGAGTGGTGTCGGCACCATTGAAATTTCATGGAATTGTGAGTCAAACCTCGTACAGTTGAATGGGAGGCTTCGTTTAGTTTGCGATAGTTTGCGCTTTAAAGATTCGAACAATCTAAGTGGCGACGTTGAGTCTCAATAGCTTCTATCTGATTTAAAGATTCTAGCAACAAACTTCATTCACTGTACAGCTTACCGAATAATGCAAGGGGGGGGCCACTGCTTCTGACTTGGCGTACCACCCTCCCGCCCCCCCCCACCCGCCCCACCAGCGCCCACCCGTTGCGATTTCACCGGCCGCACACTCAGAGTGCGGGGCGGACCTAACAGCTACGACTAGATGTCCTCAAAGTACCAACCCAGTGCTGCAAGCGGGGCAGTATCTCTGACTTCCACATATTCACGTTCCAAGTGGATTCAACATGACCTAAGGTTAAGGTCCTAAACAATTCTTCTGACACGCAAGCCCTTTCTTCCTTTCTGCAACCAGCAGTTCCAACTCGGACTTTCAACCCGCTTTACTTTGCAGCTGTCCACAAGCACGCGCAAGCTTGTAGAGACATAAGTTGGAAGTTGCGCATAGAATCGCACAGCATGAAGTGTCGAAACATCCCGCTCTCCTCGTTGTGTTTCTGGGCTGCGAACAAGCCAGGCCATGAGCCGCTCTGTCTCAAGCTGCGACAGCTGGAGGGCAGCGTTGCTCTGCCTGACACAGCGTTGCTCTTCCCGGGACGGGCGTACGTTTTAAAGACCGATGCCAAGAATCGCCTAGCCAACAGCAGCTGCTTCTGGATAAACTCTGGAAGGCTCTGGAAGAGCGCAGCGGACCTCGCGTCTCTACTCAACTGCCCTCTGTAACACTGCAGGCAGCGCAAACTAAGAAGGAACATGATGTTTCATAATGCAGGTTGGACTTTAACAACCAGGCATTGGCCTTGCAACTTACAAGCAGCGCCGAGGGTCCAGCCAAGTTGTTAGCTTCGGCAACACCTGGTCAGACGAGTCAGACAATGGCTCTGACTGGCTTTGGTGTACCATTCCCGAGCGGGCTCCCTTGCCCTGGGCATCCAGAATTGCGCTTAAACTTTCAAGCCCTCAAACGAGGGACGGGAGGATAGGTGGAGGGGCCCTTAGATCCGCAACCCCCAGTCTGATTTTGAGTCTTTATGAACCTTGTGGTGGGGGTGGGGGTGGGGGAGCAGGTGCTGGTTCAACTGCACAGCAGGAAGGGACGGAACGAATCAGCGTGATGCATGCCAGCCATGCGCTGATAGGTTGTCTCTTCTCCGTATAAACTTCAGGCTAACTTCAGGCAATCTTCTTGTCCGAATGTACCTTCTCCACGGTGCTGGGCATTGGTAGCGCCTGACAGAAACCAGGCCAACTGGACATCACATGACATCACCTGCTGAGAGAGCCAGCCTCTAGCTCAGTGATGAGGGTGCGAAACTCGGGAATGGCTGCCTGCAAAGGCCCGACAGACACTTGTACCAAGTCATCATCACACCTGTCACAGCTTTGTCGCAGCTTATTGGACAGGTGCGGACCAGCAGGCCCTCCGCCACAAGGACTGTGCCTCGAAAATAGGCAAGTTCAAATGCGACAACAAACAGCCCCGAACTGGGCTGCACCCTGGCTTAGGTCTTTGCCAAAGTTCTTCCCTGAGTTGGCACGCTCGGAGACGACCTTCAGCTTGGAGGGTGGAGCACGGTAGCTAGTGATCCGGACTGTGTGCAACATGTGAACGATTTCACAGGGCTCCCGGCATCAGCGATGTCACTCACCAGTTCCCGCAATGATGTCCGGTGCTCATCTACCTGATGTCTGTGCCCAGAAATTGGTCCAGGGGGGTGGTTGTGAGCCGCAACTTGTCCCTCTGCAAGTGCCTCCTCCGTCAGGAGTAGCAGGTTTGGCTTCGTCTCAAGCGCAACTTCCAGCGCCACATGGGACGAGGGAACCTTGCCTGCTCAATCTACTGAGCAGCGCGTGGTAGTGCGGATGGTGCACTGCTCTTGAAACATGTCTTCCAGCAATGCAGACACAATTATCACCGAACTGGCCTCCTGTGGTGGAGCCATCCATAAGCTTGAGGAAGTAATAGTACTTTCGAGCGCTGGAGCCTCGCTGCAGCTCGTCGCAGTTGCAGCTGGGACGTAGATATTCATGGATGCAGCTTTCCTCTCTAAGTCTAAGGTCGCACTGCCACGCAGCATTGGTCAGCTCAGGCCAGCACCGTCGATGGCTGTATTGCCAACCTCTTCAACAAGAAGCAGTCAACCTCCCCGAACTTTGCCATCTAGTTCTACAACTGCCCGCCCGCTGCTGCTCAATGCCATCTTCTTGCAGCCAAGTCTGCCAATTGCGACATGGCTTTTGCACAAGAGTCGAAGCCCAAGGACCTTAGCAAGGCTGAGCAAGGCTCGTTCAAGGTAGAAATCAGCCAACTTAATGTTTTACGCGTGTTGGCAAATCTGGCCAACTTGGTTTCCCCGATTCGTTTCCCGCAAGTCGAAGCTGCAGACCCCCGATCTGGGCGAACGGAGTGTTCAGATTTTGCGCTTGCCAAGATTAACTTGCGCAGGAAAATGAACTCAAATGATACGCAAGATTGCACAAACAAACGGAAGTCAAGTCACAATGCGCTTCAACGATCTTCACTTTACCTCTCCTTACCGCCAGGATACTGGACACAGTCACCATATCAAGGCTCTGGCTCAGGACTTTCGCGAAGACTCAAAGCAGATGGGCATAGACACACAAAGATGAGGCACCAACTTCAGAAGGGTTATGAAGGGTTTCGACTTGCAAATACAGTAGCAACCTTCCAAAGCTTGCCGGTTTTGGATAGGACTTTTGTGAGCAATGCTATAAGGGATAAGGGTGTCAATTCGGAGCAAACATGCCCGCCGGCAGAAAAGATCATGGTGGGTTATCGAAAGATAAGGTCATGTGCTGTGGGTCTCTTCAAAGTCGTTGAAGGATGTTGCAGGTCTCCTTGTATGCGGCGATGTGGCACGCATAGGCCGGGCGCCAGGCGCCTCCACGAATTCGTTCACCATGCTGCCCTCGATGCCGCAAGGAACTCCGACCACAGCTGTTTTCACCTGTTGCACATGCCTTGATTTTCTTGATAAGCGTCGGGCAGGCATGCTTCCAAAAGGACGGCATAACAAGTAAGACTGACTGGCCTTGTTGGTCTTGAAGAACTCGGCCAGGTAAGCAGCATCCGTGTTCGTGCCTGCTGGGTGAGGCACTACAGACATCGAACGCCTTTTCGGATCTCCTCGGAAGGTGTTTGGAGACTTTCGAAGTCCGGGACTCCGGGCGCGCGCCGCCCACTAAGACAAGCCCGTCCAGGTTCAGCTCCTGGCAACCGACATTGGATGTCATTGGGGTAAGGAGGAGTTCCATGCAGGCCCGCTGGCAATGGGCAAAAAGACGGAAGGAATGAGCTCTGTATAGCTCTGTTCTGGGTTGCTCGACCTTCGCTTCCTGAATCTCGGGTTGAGAATCTTTACCACTTTTGGATGCCTGCCTGCTTTCCATACCATGCTTGTGCGACCACATCAGCGGCAGATTGTGTTGCTGTGTAGCTTTCCTCGACCTGCCGCCCTGCTTGCTTACAGGCTCGCGCCGTGGTTCTTGGATCCTGAAATTGACTGTGCTCATCTGCGCACGAACGCTTAAAAATGGGCCGACCGGCAAGACCGCGCGGCCGGACAGGTAACAGGGCACCGGTGTGCACCGGTGAGGCGATTTGCGCAGTGTGAAATGTGGAGTCATGTGGAAAATTCAAGGACCAAGCTTTGATCTTCACGACCCCTCGCAAGAATTGATTCACCCCTCAGGCGTTTCCCTTGTGACGACGGAGTCTGTGAATATGCACAAATCAACTCAAGCTTCCAATTGAGTGCACAGCATTGCGTCACCATTTTGACACACACACACACACACACTCTCTCACAAAAAGGGCACTCGCCTGGCAGGCATGCATGGCGCTCTCGGACTCATCCTGCGACCAGCTACAGCGCAAGCTGCTGACATGTTTCCAATGACTCTATACCAAGAGCATCTCGTGTTGACCACAGGCCTTCGTGTTGATGCGATCGACTGTTCGCCCAAGCCTGGGGCTCCAGCACTGGGATCAATCCAAAGTGTCATTTATAGTGAAAAGCATACTTTAATCATACTTACAATACTTGTATCAATTTACTTTTAGCCAGGCGCCAGGATGTGCTACAGGGTTAAACGGTAGAGTCGCATGACAGAGTTCGCAGCACGATGTACTCATGCAACAATCCAGGTTCGCAGCATTTCCAAGCCACCTTGGGAGCTCAGAATGATCCGAGCAACCCTACATGAAACAGTGCTCAAGTAACGACTTAATCTCGCAGAACGACACTGCGCATTGCTGTGTAAGATGCTGCTCCTGGCCTGTTCCACGGAAAGCCTCGCACAGCTCGGGCGTGAGCTCCACTGTCTGTGCAGGGCGCGGGTTCTGCAGCTGTGCTCCACCATGCCCGACCAAACAGGCCAACGCAAGCTGCTGAGACACAAGTCCCAAAGGATTGGGGGGCGATGGGGGTTGAGGGTGTCGGCCCTTTTCCCAACCGATCCCCCAAACATCAATTGAAATACGTTAACCCCGGATGCTTCTTTTTCATATGACGAGGGCGTCGTTTTGATCTTAATCGCCGAGGCCACATGCCTGAGGCGTTTGGTGTAAAAGAAGAACCCACCTCCTTCATATTCCTAATCCCCCTGGACCCTCCCCCCCCTCCCTCCCCCTTCGGTCCGCAGGAGTCTCCCACAAAACTCCAGCCAAAGAATTGGGATCAAACGTAGTGGTCGTGTTCTTGCGGACTCTCTCCGGTATGCAGATTGGTGAGGGAAGCCTGGATTGGCAGAGGAGCCCTGATGCCACAGGCACTTCCCTCACGCACTTCTAGACCCCCCCGTGGCATGCCTGTCGCCGCCATGCTGCACCAAAGGGGCCGCTTAGTGTGAATATTAGGGGGGGCGGCCTAATCGTCCAAAGGGGAATTAAGGGGAATCTCTCTCGATTCGAGCCTGCTTCTCCATGAAGCCATGTGTTCCGCCCACGAAGCCGAGGACTTTGTTGCCAAAGTTGGGGGGCCTCAAAAATTTCATGTACAGATGGTATCGCAGCACTGCTTTCGACGCTGAATGGGTCCACATGGAGCAGAGCTCCCGACAGCATGTCCACCAAGCCACACACAAAGTCGTGACAGCCCGGCGCCTGAGCGGAAGCCAAGGAGCAGGAGTACTGCACGTGCCCCAGCCCTTTGCGACCGCACACACACCACGACCCACCCACCCACACCACGACCCACCCACACACACACACACACACACACACACACACACACACGCACACGCACACGCACACGCACACGCACACACCCACACGCACACGCACACGCACACGCACACGCACACGCACACACACACACACACACACACACACACACACACACACACACACACACACACACCACACACACCCACACACACACACACACACACAACACACACACACACACACACACAACACACACACACACACACACACACACACACACACACACACGCACGCACGCACGCACGCACGCACGCACGCACGCACGCACGCACGCACGCACGCACGCACGCACGCACGCACGCGCACGCACGCACGCACGCACGCACGCACGCACGCACGCACGCACGCACGCACGCACGCACGCACGCACGCACGCACGCACGCACGCACGCACGCACGCACGCACGCACGCACGCACGCACGCACGCACGCACGCACGCACACACACACAAAACAAAAAAAAATACCACAATCTCGTTGCAAGGAGGAACGCCGAGCATGACGGCATGGAGCAAAGACAGTTGCAAAGGGAGACCCAACCTGCCGGCCGCAGAAGACGACACCGATCCTCTTGTTCTCGATCGGAGCGGTCCGCTCCTACACGGTCGGCACGGTAGACATCGAGGCTTCTTGGGAAGAAGCTTGCGTATCTTTAATCATGACCTGCCCGGTTGAAAACCCAGCGCAGCAATGAAACCCAAATCCCGGAACTCAACTACAAAGCCCCTCAGCAAAAACAAGATTAACTGGGGAAGCAGTCGCTTCGTCTACAAGAAAGAGGCCGCTGTTAAGAGACCAAAACCCTTCAGTCTGCTTAAACCCAAACCCGCATCAATTGTCAGTTTCGGACACATTGAAATAATCAAGAAGGAGGGTGGGGCAGGTTTATCAGTGGGAGCTTATAGGATTAAGCACAACATACAGCATGCAGTTTCAAGCCTCCGTCGGAAGGATGTCCAGCAAGGGAGCATGCACTTCCGAGAAGTAACGGGAAACGACCTCAGAGTGGGAGGTTCTGCTAGTAGGCAGGCAAAGACTGGAAGTGAAGCGTGTGCGCGTTGGCATGTGCGAAATAGCAGACTAGAACCGCCAGTGAGCCTCCGTGTGGTCATTGACGACGGTTTCCTCTCCCCGGATAACCTTGGCTTCTAGCTGCGTTCGGAGCACTTCATGTGCAAGTCGTGCGCCAACGTTCACAAGCCATCATTGTTCCGTGAGGGCTTGCTATCATCTTCCTCAGGTCCGGGCAGTGACGGCATTTCCATTGAAAGCGCTCAGCGACGCCGGGAGACGATGCTGCCTTCCCTGAGGCTTCATTGACATCTGCTGTCAAGCTTCTCAAGGCTATGTTGATGTAATTTGTTCGGGGGCATCTCCTCCGTTGTGCTCCGGCTTGGGTATCTGGCCGGAGAGGGTTCTTGAGCATTCGACGCTTTAGAGAGTACACGCTTCCGGATAATAAGCTCGACTCTCGTATGCACTTGTTGTATTGCCAACTATGTGTGGAGTCGACGTAGCAGCGACAACCAGCGACCAGCAAAGCAATAACTGTGCACCCCAAGCCCAGGAATGAATAAAATAGTGTTGCAGCAAACTTCTGCTCAGGAATGTGCAGAATATCATGGAGTCTCGTTTCAAAAACCAGGTGCTAGATCCTCCGACGAACCATGAAGCCCTGACTGGTGTGCGCGGCTGAGCGCCATTGCTGCAGCTCTGAGCGCAGCTTCTTCCTCAGTCACCCACAAATTTGAAACAAGGAGGCCAGCGCAACGATGGTACTTTGCCACCACCAAGACGACACACATCCGAATGCTTCCAGTGATACAATCCTCTTGACGGACTTTCAGTCTCTGCACCTCTCTGCAGACTCTGCAAGACGGTTTGCCATCAAGGAACGCATGCGGAAGAAAGAGGAAGTTGCCCATCCTGTCGGTTCATCAGGCCATGAGATTGCCATAAAATGCTACTAGCATTACAACACTCGGAGTGGTCAACGCGGCAACGTCACTCCAGCATCTTTCTCCTAGTTGCGTAATGTTTCGCAGTATGCGGCCGCATGTGCCGGCCTCTTGGGCTTCTCGCTGGGGAACTCCACCGAGATCGTCCTGATGACTAGCAATGCACAGCCAGATGTGCACAGCGCAAAGTGGGACTGATGCAGCGCGAGGGTGTAGCTAAACGGCCATGGCATCGAATGAGTTCATGAAGATGGCACCCCCCTCTCAAATGCCAAGGCTTTGAGTCGCAGAATCTCCTGCCAAGCTCCAGCTGGAGTGTCATTGGAATGTCCTTGCGGCTTGGTGAAACCCCACTTTCTTATCTTTCTTAGTAGGCTTTCTCGGTTGGTGGGTCTGCTCACAGGGGCTCTTATGGCTCTTCCCTCGCGGATCCATCCTTCGAGGCTTCGCAGCCGATCATGTCGAACTGGATCGGGCCCGGGTTTCGGTACCTCCGGCAGCGTGTGACATGCTGAAACTCTTTGGAAAGCAGTCCCTTTGGTACTTCCTTGACAGCAGGGCACATGTCGCAAATGCGCAGCTGGTCTCGGATGCGTTTGTAGAACTCAAACGGTTGCGACCTGAGTTACCATTTTTCCCGCTGATACGCTTCATGTACTCGCAGGCTTGCATCGTGGTAGGAATGCTGCAAAGTGCCCTCAAGCTCCACAAGTGCTTTGCGGATCACAGGCTTGTCCTGAACACAGATCGCTTGTGGGAAGCAGGGTCAGCGCAAAGACTTTTGTCAAATCAGCAATCTGCAAGCCCCTCCTTGCCCTTGCGCCGCTCGATAACGCACAGGGACGTGACGGGTACTCCGCCGCACTGCCAATCCTGAAACACCATGAAGGTCGCATCTGTCAGACAGGCTAACATTTAGCTTAATTTCGCCTAATTGTAGGTGTATCCCAGACCGGTGTGGCAGGATGCCTTGCATGGCGCCAGCAGATTCTTGACGCTCGCGATGAGCCCAGTGCAGCCAGTGACCTGCTGAGCAATCGCAAGCGACTGTAATCGACTGTATGTTTGATGCAATGAGTTCCAACGCGTCTGGGGATGGCACCAGCAAGGACGAGGCAGTGTATCCCAGCGCCTGCCACACGTATCCATGCGTGAGGCATGATGCAAACTGGCAGGGCAAAGTCGGAGTGTAGTTAGCGAGCCAGCAGTCCTCGGTGGCCTGTTTCTGAGTGCAAAAGACCGGCTTGGATTCGTCTTGTCAGACTTTTTTTGCTCGCTTGGGACAGGCATTCTGCACAAGCAGGCCAGGGGGACATAGCAGTAGGACGCATCGAAGACGGTTGGCCTCGGCAGAAAGGAGTGTCAGATGGACAAGTGCTCAGGGCATCTAACGGCTTCTTGTCTTTTCAAGGTTGACATGACATGTAATGGATTGTGTGTGGATTAGGGGTTTTTGGCGATTGAGTGGGCGTCAGCCTCTCCGTTAGCCACAACTTCGCCTGCGGCGCAGATGCCAGCGTAGACCCAAAAACATCCCTTTGCAAGACCACCGGGACGGCACATCACAAGTGTCAATAACAGGACCACAATGCCAAAAGACGACGACCGTTCTGCAGCAGGCGCATGTGACCGAGGTGGAAGCGTGACTGCGAACACTTGGGACAGGCAAATCCGATGCATAAGGCGCCCGAAAAGGCAGGGACGAACCTACGCCCACTACCACAACTTCTGCGGAGCGATTGAAACATGCAACAAAAGCAAGAACGAACCGTGTCAGACCGAGGCGGGAGCATCATTTCGAGCACGGGACGTAGGCGAGAGATGGAGATGTGCTAGGACGAGCTGAAAACCTTCGATCCCCAAACATAATTTACAACCAAGCCGAACTGCCGGAACCAAACTGCAAGACCAAACCGTCGTTCTCGATCCGGACCCGCAACGAACTGCGAGCGGAAGCGCGAGCGGAAGCGCGAGCGGAACCGCGAGCGGAACCGCACCTCCGGCTCCAATCGGTTCCTCTGTATCTGCAGCTCTTCCAGTCTGTTACAAAGGCCATACCGGCTGCTCTTGTTTCAAGCTTGGAACAGGCAAGCATGAAAGTGCCTGCAGCTAGGGCTGAAATCTGCTTGCATCCTTTCCTTGTGACACGCTGCAAAACTTGGGAGGGCAAGCCCTTAGTTTCGATGCGATCTGTAGTGGTTTGCCCAACACAAAGCCCATGGCGGAGTCTCTACTAGTCTACTAGAGCAGCCGGCTAGGTCGGAACTCTTAGAAAGAAAAAACTGCTTGTGGTCTTCGCTGGTACAACTTGGCAATGAAGAACCACGAGTGGCAGAAGGCTGAACATGCAGCAGATTGCAGCAGGTCAGATGTGTGATGAAGTCCCTGCAGCACAGGCTTACACCCGAAGCGGCTGGGACCCACACAGTCCTGCACGGCCCTCATAGCCAAATGCATGAAACTGCGGGGAGAAGGTGCCCTTGTACCTCGCCGAGCCCCGATTCGAAACGGTGCACTGTAGGCCTCATGGGTCTTCCGACTCGTTGGGAGGGTGCGATATCCTAACGAAAAACGCGGGGCAAGGTGTGTCGCAAGTATTGCTCGCTCTTCCGGGGCACCCCTTGGCGCGGCGGTTGTCCAGCTCCGTGTGCACGGTGGCAGCTAAGAGCTTCTCTGTTTCAATCTTGGCCACCTTCGATGGGCAGATACGGGCAGCACATGTTATGCCATGAAACAAAAGTATCCTCTTCAAGTGTTTCTGTTGTCTGTAAATGTTTAAAAGCATCTTGTCTCAACTGGTGCTGATGCAGCAGTATGCAGTACCGCAAGTGTCGATGTTCAATACGTTCCCAGCCTGAACATTGCCGTGTGGATCACGATCCAGAAGCAGCTGTGCGCGAATAAATCCTGGCAGGTACCTGGCGTATCCACAAGCACTGTACCCACATTCCTACGTTGGGGAACGAAGTGTCATCCATCCCGCTGAACAGCTATGCAACCCAGGAACCCAGCACTAGCCCCAAAAGATGCGAAGCTTTTGCAAACCCCTTGGCCTAAAGCACTCTGCGTTCTCCTTGGACAGGACAGCCAGGACGCCCTGGCAACGGATCAGACGCACTTCTTAATCACCCTGAGAATGAGAAGCAGGTGCAAGACCATACCAGCAAGCTGACAAGACCAAAAGACGTGCCATGCGTTGTGAAGCTCGCAATCCTGGCGTGCCCTCGCCTCCTCAGTTGCTTCCACACCTGGCTGGGAGAGCTTGTCGTTGATCTCTGAGATCAAGGCGTTGAACTCTGGGATGAACCTGAAAGGAGGGAGTCTTTCGACTATCTTTCGGTGATTTCGGTGATTTCTTGCCAGATCCATGGAAACAGCTTGGGCACAAACTCAATCAGGCCCTCGGGCAGAATGATGACGCCATAGTCCTGCACCATAACATAAGGTAAGTATCGAAACCTGTGCAGCTTGCAAGGACGTAAGCAGGTGGTTTCGTTTTGAATCCTGGCGACTGCAATCCATTCCTATGCACAATGTACCATGGGAGAGCACATGCTGCAAAGGAGCATCGATCAAGAGTACGGCTTCGTGGGACAAGCCACCGAAAAAGCCAAGACAAGCGCTCAAAACCCATTAGACTGCTCTGGCTGCCGTGGGCGATCTCTCCTTGCCATCCTTGCTCCTGGCCTCGATCATGTCCTCAGTCCCAGTCCAACCGGCGGGTGTCGAGGCTGCAGAGTCGGAACATGTCGGCGAGTAAACCACGAAGGCTGAAGCTAGACGACTCGCTTTTCTGCTCGCGCACATGTGGGGGGTTTGGTTCAAGGCTGAAGGCTAAGGTGACGGTGCCGAAAGGGGAACTGCTGCTGTCCACAACCACAACGTCTGCTGCAGCGATTGACATGCTCCGAATCCGAAAAACTTCGAGACATGTCTGGGAAGAGCTACGGCAAGGGGCCATACTAGGCCACGTGACGAGGGCGGGGGGGGGGGGGGCCTTGTAGGGGCTCCGCTCTCCAATTGGCTTGCCGCCTTTTTCATTCATAAGCAATTCACCAAATCAATCGTCTGGGGAGGGGAGGGTTAGGGGGGGAAGGGGGGGACGACAACGCAAAGCTCAACCATGGGTTACCCATTTCCACCGGCTGAAAGTGCAACACAGTCCGGACCGCTGAGACATTGGCTGCCATGTCCATGGTGATGTCCTTCAGGCTTCTCTTTCCCTCGGCCACCTTTCCAAGAAACAGACCATTCGGTGCATTGATGCTAAGAGTGAGCTTGAGGCCCGCAGAGGCTTCTATCAACTCATAGGATTCTAACACAGGTATTGGGCTTGGTAGGGAACCGTTGGAGTCGAGGTCATTCGCGTGCCTCCTCTCCCAAAAGGCACATGTTCGGTCTCGTAAGCAGAGCCTGCAGGAGCACGATGCTGTTGCTTGTGCTCAGGCTCAGACTCATAGGGACGACATCACTGGAGCAGCGAGAAAATGCGGGCAACTGAGCCAGCCACCACCTCCAAGGCGATGTTCGATGCGGAACGGCCCATCAAGCGAACTAAGTGGTAGTACCTGCATGCTTCGCACGTTTTGCTGCATTTTGCACTCTCATTCTCTGCCGGCCCATGCTTCCGATGTCAAGTCTTGTGGCGCGCATCTTTCTGTAAGAACTCTGCGTCGGGGGCACTTCTGTGCGCTCAGTGCATCCACTGCCACATTTCCTGGACATCTCGGCAGGACAAAGTGTTTGAAGTTTACCTGGGAATCCCTTGTGCCATAAATTCGCGTCCGCTTCGAGAGGCTGGAAAAATATGTCCTCGCGAAATTTCTGTCCGCTTGGAGGGGCTGCAAAAAAACCGTTTCCGGCCGTTAACAAAACACAATCAAAACAAGTGAAGCCGAAACATGGACCAGTTAGGTACTCAGGCTTGAGAAGGCTGAAAGAGCTTGGTTTCAGGGCGCGGTCGTGCCTTGTAGAGGTCTGGATTACGCGGTCAGGCTCATTCTACGAGGGTCAAAAAACAAAAATGCCCGCTTCTTGACATTTTATCGGGATTGGGGTTTGGTTTTCTTTGGTTTTTTGTCGACAAAATGTCGATAAAACATGGTTTTCCTACGGGTTACGGTTTTCCTACGGTTTCCTGCGGCTCACCAAAATCCCGAAAAAATGTCGACATTTTATTGGGATAAGGGTACGGATTTGTAGTCTTTTGCGGAAGACCCATTTCCTGTAGGTCCTTGGATCACAAAGAGTCGCGTAAGTGCTCGCAAAGCAATCCTTTTCAATCTTTTGGGCTTCAGAGAGAAGTAGCCTCGCAAGCCTCGAACTCACATATGGAGCGCGCGCGGCAACGAGTTCCCTTACACAGGCAATAGGATACTTGCTTGACTATTATTAGGCTAAACCTAAAAAATGGCCGCTTTGCCTACACCCCAAAAAACCATTAAAAAACCGAAATACGGCCTTTCTACGGAAAAATCCAGATTTTGCACTAAGGACACAAATTCCCGGCCGCTAGGATCTTCAGGTATGCACTGGGGACGAGCTGAAGAACTTCCATGTGAAGCTCAAGCTACAATGAACCACGCAGCAGTTCTTGAAGAAATGCCAGCCTACCAATGTGGCGTAGGTCTTGCAAGCCGTGTCAAAGCCGAAGGAGACAGGGATGTGCGGCGGGCACCTGTTCCGGCTCTTATTCGATTGCTCGACTCGGTTGCACAAGGTTGGTCAAGTTTGCACAGTGGACATGCCATTCAACAAAGCCCTGACGTGCATAGAGCAATGCATGGCAGCTGCGCTTCAAGTCGCCGTCAATGGTCTTTGGAGCACCTACGACCTTCGTCTTGCAACCATTTGCCTCGAGCAGATGAAGCTTCTGGCCACAGGTCGCGGGTGGTGAGCATGAGCAGCAACAAATTCCGTGGCAACTCTTTGCAACATGCATTTTAGATCCTGCCTTGAAGTACTCAGCCAGTACTGCACCATTCGTGTTCGAGTCCTGAGAGAAGTGGACAACTCAACGAATTATTCTGCAGCTCTCTCTGCTTTACCTCTACTCCACCGAGGCTTTTGGACGATCACGGCAAGTTACTGTGCCGTTTTGCGCATTTTATTGCCACGATCCCCAGAGGACTACATTTACTTAAGAAAGACGAAGTTAAAGCTGCCGAGGATAGGATGTGCAGGAATCTGTGGCCTTGCTAAGATACCTGACCTCTATTGCTTGCTCACCTTATCTCACCTTCCTACACAGAAGTGGAGCCTAGAATAGAATATGTCAGTGTCCAATTGGCACTTGCTTTGAAGAGGGCCTCTCTTGAGGCTCTGAATAGGGGTTCTGTACTTCGGCAACCGTCACACCAATCAAGTCAAGGCCTCACTGACACGACTTCACTCCCAATTCCAAGCCCACACGCAGCTGCGGCAAGAATAAGATAACTTCAAGGAGCATTCAAAAGAGGATCCCTGCAGCACATCGCGACAGTGACTGCAGCACAGCTGCATCCCCTCCGATGACGACCAACCCATCCAGGCCGATAGCATTGCACACCTTCGGGAAAAGTCACGTCAAGTGAACTGATAAGAACAACGGATATTCAACATGGAGAAGGTTAAAGGTCGTTGTAGCGGGACGGGTGGCGCAGCACCACCATTTACCGAGTCAGTACAAGCATTGCACCTGCCACACGCTCGAGTTGATTCAAAAGGCTAGCTTGCGAAGTGGAAGGCGAGTGGATATGTTGAATAAAACCAGCCTAGCTTGTTGGTTTTGGCTGACATGATGCCAATGTACGGCTCCATGATATAGGAGTCACAAAACATGACTTGCCTTTGTATTGAATATGTCATCCACGCCGTATGAACTGAATCACAGGTACCAACTGGGTACCAAGTTGCACTAAAGACATGTCAATGTAAGTGTCGAGAGCAGCGGAGGAGAATGAACCAAGAACATAGATCGAAGACACCAGCAAGCCAATTAACAACTAAATACCGGCGATTGGTCTCAGAGGCTTCCGTTTGTTAAAGGGTGTTTTGGCTTCTGGGCTTCCTCCTCAAAACACATTGGCAAGCAAGGCTAAGCCAGCACAAGAGCTGATTGTAGGTCCTCCGCCCTGCTTCAATGCGCACATTCCCTCGTGGCTACATGCAGCTAAGCTACATGTGGGGGTTTCCGAAATTAGGGGTAACCTATTGGGGTCCCTATCATAAGGGAATGGAACTATCTTGGGGCCGGTCCATATTAAACCCCCATGTGGCTACATGCCAGGGCCCACGCTGCCATCGAGTCTTTGAATTGATCCTCTGAGGCAAACACTCAGATGCGTGGCTGGAAAACCCGGTCAGATTCAGTCTTTTGAATTGCAACTTTGATGACAAAACTGTAAGTCTATTGAGCATGTAATCATGCAGTGTGCGATTTTGTGCCAGCAGATGACTGAGCGCAAGCTGTCCGAGCTGTCGCCTCGGATTCGATCTTGTGGCGGCCGCTGCCCAGCATGTCAAATCCACCTTGCCGTGTCCACTGCTGCATTCCGTTGTCAATTAGGCTTAGTGGTGCCCATAAATGATTTGAACCAGCAGTGCGGTGTGCGCCAATACACCCCGACAGTGCCTGCCGATCTACACACTAGACATTGTTGAAGCGTTCTAGCACCGGATTCCGCCGTGATGTGAACAACTTGGGTGCGCACCAGTGTTGCGGAATCCATCCATAATGTCATCTGTGATTTCTACGAAATTGCCCGTGAAGATCCCGTGCGGTCCGTCCAGAAAGCCGATCATTGTGGAATCCTGCAGCTGCAGTCTGAGCTTCCAGGCTTTGCAAAAGCCGCTCAATAGCCCTCGACAGCTCTCCTTGATCCCGCAGTTTCGAAAAAAACAGACCAACTTGTGGACAAAAACAACCAAGCCGAACTAGAACTAAAGTTGTGTGCATTGCAGTACTTCATCCTCGTCGTCCCGGACAGCAGCCACTAAATAGGACGATACAGTAGGACGCTCTGTCGTGTCCGAATGCAAGCCCCATCCATGTGCCTTGTGCCATGCCTTGATGCCGTCAAAAATTCCAGCAATGACGTTGTGCCCACCTGGCGCCTGCGTTCCACAAGTTTGGTGTAGACTGAGCTTGTGAAGTTAGAACAATTTAGAACACGTTAAAACTGAGTTCGAACCACTACGCTGCACTCCATGCCTCTTCTGATAACGAGGCTCACGCTTGCATCGCTGAACTAGCAAGCCCAACAATTGAACGCTTATCCTCGGTCAGGCCTGGCCACCCGAGAGCACCACTCCCACCTTGACAGGTGCCTCGCGAACTTCGTGTACTGCGGAAACCTAACTAACGAAAGGGTGGACAGGGCACACAGAGTTCCCGCATTGAGCCTCTCCATGTTCCTGCGCTGATCCGGCTTCAAACTCCACGAGCGGAGTATCCTGCCAGGCAAAAAAAATGCAGAGCAGCCAGAGTGACCACAGGAACCGCCTCTAGCAAGACCGATGCGATGATGGGGAGGTTGCACTGAGACTCTGGCATAGGTTTGAGGAAACAGCTTTTTGATGACCTGGCCGCTGCTGTGCATTGAACGGGTGAAGTCTGCAGCACAAGTACAAACACCTGGCCTCTGCGTCCTTTGGAGAAGCTGACATAGCCTGGACTTCAGCTGCATCATGGTGTGTCAGATATCAGTATGAATGAAGTGCCAGATTCACTGCTTTGAGTACAGGACCTCCTTCTTGACAGCTTTGGGCTTGCCACTCAGGACATTAGGCAGATAGTCCTGGCAAGCTCGACGCGCAAAACAATTCTGCATCCATCTCTCCATTCCGCACACCCTTCCCCCCTCTCCCCCCCTGCCCATGCGCACTGCAGTCACTCCATGAACCGACAAGCCACACGTCAAAGTGTCCTTGCAATCCGCCTTCAGGCGTTGCTTCTGCAGGGAACTGTAGGCCTGCCCAAGCCGCTTCAAATTCCCGGCGAATCTTGCTGACTCGACTTTCTCAGGCAGAAACTCTGAGTAACAAGTTTGGACAGGCCTTGCGGGCCCTGTCGTAAACAGCTGGGCTCGTCTTGGGTGCCATCTGTACCTCAGGCTCAAAGACTTGCGGCTAGGTTGCACTCATCCGCTGCCACCTGTGCTCACGCTCGGATCGGGGCTCGTGCAGATCAAGACAGGCTTTCGAACTACTTGTTCAGTGCAGCCAGGTGCTGCAGTGATGGAGCCAAAGCTTCGGGGGAAATTTAGGGTCATTTGTCGGGTCTTTCTCGAGGCCTCTTGCAACATATGCAGGGGGCCACATGCTGTCAAAACCCGTCCTGCGCTGAACAGCTACAAAACAATCCGCCGACCCCCTTTGTCGGCGTCAAGAAGCTGGACTCGTACCTTTCCCGCTGGACCCGTTAGTGCCCTTCCCCATGGACCCGCACGGCTTGCTTCCTACCTGGATGGAACCACGCGTATTGTAACCCACCTCCATACTCCAACGTTTTGTGACCCATTTCCCTACCCACCCCCGCCCTCCCCGCCCGCCCTTGTTTTGGAAGGCGGCCAAGCAGATAGATGGTCACCCCCCCCAACCCCCCCCCACCCCGTGCACCACCCCCCGCTCCGACCCCCTTCCCTGCCCCCGCCCCTACCCACAGGAGAAGGACCAAAAACAACCGAATTTGCGACACCAGAAACCCCCCTTCCCCAACCCCCCCCCCCCGCACCCCCCCCCACCCCCCCCTCCCTACCCCCCCCACCCCCCCCCCCCCCCCCCACCTTTTTTTTTTTTGCGCCCCCCACAAAAAAAAAGACCAAAAACCCCCCCCCCCCCGCACACCCCCCACCCACCCCCCCCACCCCCCCTCCCTACCCCTTCCCTCCCCCAAAAAAAGAAACAACCCAACTTGCACCCTTTTTCGCTCCCCCCACCCTCCCTGCCCCCTTCCCTACCCCCTTCCCTACCCCGCCTGCCTAACCGGCCCCCCCACAGGAGAAGGACCAAAAACAACCGAATTTGTTGTTTTGGAAAGCGCCCCCCTCCCCCCCCCTACCCCCCCCCACACCCCCCACCACCCACCCTAACCACGTTTTGTGTTGGCTGCCACCCTACCGGCCCCCTACCCCCCCACCCCTTTCCTACCCCTCTTCCCTGCCTCCGTCCCCTACCCCGCCTCCACTTCCCTGCCCCCTTCCCTACCCCGTCTGCCTAGCCGGCCCTTTCAAGGGCCAAAAACAACCTAATTTTGTTGTTTTGGATGGCGGCCACAGAACCACACGTTTTGTGTTCGCTGCACCGTACCCCCCCCCGAACCCCCCCAACCCCCTCCGCCGACCCCCCTTCATCCGCAGCGCTTACCTCGGGGGTCGGCGGCAGCGGCGTCAGCCTTGAAATCGGGCAGCGCGAGGTCCCCAAAGGACCGAGCAAATGCGGACCTTTTAGCCCGGGTCGTCCCGGGAATAGCCTTGCTGGCCTCTGGCCTTCTGCGAAGCAGAATTAGGCCGGACGCCAGTGCCGCCGACCCCCGCGTGCCGCCGGTGAACGGTTTTTTTTTCGTGGTTTTTTGCGTCGCCACGGAGGCCCCCAGAGGGCGCGCATCATGAGCATCAGCGGGTCCAGCCCGGGACCCCCAGGCGCGCATCAGGAGCATCAGCGGCTCCCGGGGCGGGACCCCGGGGGCGCATCAGGAGCATGATGCCCCCCAAAGGGCGGGCATAAGCGATGTGTCTAAGCGCGGGGCTAGGAAAAGGGGAGTTTAGGGGCCTTATGAAGTGCTTAGAAACTTTAAGGGAGTCTAGGAGCCTCAAACGCTTAGAGATTTGAAGGGAGTTTAGGGGCCTGAAAATGCTTGGAAACTTTGAGGGGGTTGAGGAGCCTCAAACGCTTAGAGATTAGGGGCCTCAAAATGCTTAGAAACTGCTCGCCCCGCGCTTCTGCCTGCGCTGCCCGCCCATGGGCGCAGCCCCTTAAAATTAACAAAAACCAACTCACGTCTCAATTTGGGCACTGAAGTTTCAGCGTCTGACTCGATGCAAGACTTGGCTCGTGCAAAGCAAAGCTGATCAGCACATGCACAGCCAGATCCTCGTACACCGGAAGGTCCAGCATACTTGGCTCTGCCTGCACTGGGGAGATGCCATATCATTCATCTAAGTCTCAACCGCGTACCGTGTGTCTGCAGCAACATGCTTCGATGCGCAAAGACCCTCTTCACCAATGTGCAAGAAGCAGCTGTCTGACAAATCTCTTTCGCTTTGATCCAAGCAGCTGTTGGTGCTTTGCATGCTGCAAGATTCTACTGTACCTGTCCCCCCACATTCGGATGGCGCAGCACATGCAGCAGCACATCCCAGAATGAAACGGGCTTGGGTCGTTCAGGCCTCTGCCAGGAAACGTGTCAGGCAACACGCGCTGGTCGCAAACATCGTCTTGGTCTAAACCCTTTCATACCCTTTCACAGCACAGTCTTGACGCCGTCAATGGTCTTCAAGTAGCCTACAACGACGAACACGTGTTCTGCGGATGTTCGGCGAAGGCGGCTAAGGGTGGGGTGTTAATTTGCTCTCGTTTTGGTTTGCTCTCTTCCACTTGGAAAGCTATACTACCCCCTTATGTACTTGCATAGCAAACTTCTCGCCCTTCTTGCGCTACACTTGAAAAGGATGTCCTCTATCTCCTCTATGTTTGGAAAAGAACTAATTACACTTCTAACGTCCTCCATATGTCAACAGGGCAGATCCTCTACTTCCTTTGTGCTAAAATGGAACGGGACAGCCTCTAGTTTCTCTACAGTGGACTGGGGATACCTATTGCAAGACAATGCTCGCGTGATGCGTTTAGAAGGAGGATTCATATGGTTTCTGAAGCAGTATCCATTGACGGCACGATATTCTTGGAATCAGATGTTGGTACGGCATAAGAAGGCTGGAGGCAGCTCGAAACCACAGAATGCTCCCATGATGGGTTTGGAGATGGTTTGTACGGGTTTTGTCATGCCCGTTTATGGCAGGACATTCTTCGAAGAAAGATTGCACGGCTTGGGGGGGGGGGGGGGGTTTGGGAGGGCGTCCCGCCATGATGCTTTGTCAAGCACGCTTGCTTGCAAAGCCTTGACAAACCGAGGGGGGGAGATTTGCAAGCACAATGCATATATGTTGGGTTCGGAAATGATGTAGTACTGTTCGTTGACAGCACCATACTATTGTTGAACTCAAGTTTGCACGGGTCACCGGAGGATCAGGGGACTACGGAGGGGATCAAGGGACCAGTGGATCAGAAGACCCAGGCACTGCAGGACCGGGGCACCACATAGGGGTGAACTGAAAAAACACCCTGCTTCGGCTAACACACACTATTCACTCAGTGTCCTACCGGGAGGAGAAAACTCGCGGTGTAGCCAAGCATCTATGCAGCGCACAGAAGTCATCTGGAGTGGTGAAGCCTTGTGGAGCTCAACAAGCACCAAAGGCACAGCCCTTATGCACTCAAACTTTTTTGCAACAGGTCGCGCCGTGACTTGCGGTGTTTGGTCATCAAACTGGCAGCGCCCTTGCACTTGCAACCGTCAGGGTGATGGTTTCGGTTCCAGGCTCAGAACTGCTAGGATCCATATCTGGCAATTCCCATTTTGACGGCCAAGCTTGCGCCAGCTGCACGACCCGGATGGCTCTGAAGGCAGAATCCTTCTCGGTGATTGTGACATCTCGGCGAACAATGTTGCCGTTTTCCACGTCCAATCGCCAACCGTAGAAAGGATCAACACCCTTGTACACTCGCTCGAGGATGACTGGCATGTAAGAGCGGGCCTTCCTGATAATGCTGCCGTCAGATTTGAAAAGAGTCTCAGACGTGATTCCAGAAACGCTCACATAGTCGGTGTTGGTCGGCTCGTCGATGCCCTCGATTTCCACGTCAAAATTAACCGCAGTTGTTGAGCCAACTTGAAGCAAACTGGAAGCATCGGAGGCTTGACCTCAGATCAGATGACACCGGCAAATTCAAGCAATCCACGAAAAACGCATAGCGAACGATAAACTTCAGACAAGAAGAGGACAGGATACCAGCATAAAATACATGTCTGCAACCATAGATGAAGCATCCTCAGGTTGGTAGATGACTCACCATCCCAAAGATCACAAAGATCTGCTTGCCAAAGTAGATTATTACCCCAGGAAACGGATGGAAACTGCAACAGGTTGCTAGAAAGACCAAGCAGTTATTAACATTTGATTAACCATTGATTTTGCAAACCCCCATCAATTGACCATAGATTAACCATCAACCAGACATCTCTTCATGTGGCACCACTGCCCCAGCGCCAAGTTGCCCTCAGAGCATGACAGAAGTTCCGAGTCTGCCGCTGCCGCTGCCACGAAAATCTGGAGGGTCAACAGCCAGCGGCACATGGCGAGTTGGCTCACCAAAAATAGGAGCAACCAATGATCCACAAAATGCAAAGTAGAACTTGAGCCTTGATATCCGAGCACTGGGAGCTGTCTGAGTGTTCAGTCAAAAAGGAAAACGCGCCGCTAATTTTGGCCGACTGCCTTATGCACCGTGGAGCCTCAATTTTTACCAACCAGGTATCTTTCATGGCTCAATTAATGGCCCACCACGCAGAGACTTTGTTTCGGCGAACTTGTGAAGTAAGAGCCATTCTGCAAGATGTTTAGCATTAGAGTCCACATATTGTTGAGAGGTAAATCACGCTTGCTGCTGGAATGACGTTTCTGAGTGCGATGTTTTTACAAGACGAACATGTATGAACTATTCCTCCCAATGTTCCACTGTGAAGCAAAGGGTATCCCAATATTTGCGTGAAAGAAGTGAAGACCTGAACTGATCTGGAGTTCATCGGAGTGGCGGGAAAACATTGGGTGGGTAGGACGATTGAAATAAGAGGAAAAGCAAGTACCCCAAACATATGGACTTCACATTTGAAGCGTTTGCATGTATCGATTGTTCTCTGATTCCGTGCAGTGCGCACCAATCTTGAGCGACAGGTCGCACCCCAGGAGCGATATCACATGCTGTGGGTAGGATAGCTGGAAGCATCAGTAGCTTGTAGTAGTGTCCAGACAAAGGTGCCTTTGGATCCGATGTCAATCCCGACGCTGACAACAACTCGACTGAGAGGGGCATCACATGCAATTGTAGGCTATCACATGAACACAGTACAGTCTGCCGAAGGGTGTCCGATCATCATTTGGTGAGCAGGACAGTCTCGGATCACCAGACTTTACAGCTTAGCGCTGACGCCTCAGAAATGCAATTTCATCCCATGCAGCCAGTAAGCGCACGTCCAGCTTGACCGATTGCCAGCGGGTCTTCGCGTTTACCTGGATCCGCACGGTCATGTGTGCTAAAGAAGAGCTTTCCTACAGCCGTTGGACCCCTGGCACCGTGAAGCACCCTGGGACGCCACGCAGTGACTGTCAGCGGATCCCAGCCGAGGACCTTTGGGGCCGCGTCCTGCAAAAAGGGCATCTGCAAGCCGTGACAAGTTTGCTTGGCCGGGCTTGTATGCGAAGGCAAGCAGCCAGAAGCCTCCACGGTCTGGCGAAAAGTGTCGCCGATGGGGCCAACCACCACAATGCCTGTTTCTGGGTAAACTACGTTTGTCAAATTTGGCAAAGTATTCACAAGCACTGAAGCCCTAGTAGCTCAAAACAACATTCGGGCTAGGAGTGCAACTCAGGCTTCCTCGCCTCTGGGCTCAACTGGACAAACAGCAACGGCGGTTATATTGGAACACATCAGATCAGAAGTTCTTGCAGCACAAGCAACTGTGAGACTTTGCCCTCGCGACTGCAAACTGCTTCTGGGGATTCTTGATGGGATCCCGGGTCAAGAAGATCGCATTGACCCATGGGGATTCTGTCATTCGAACTCGTCATGAGTCTTCAGCCATCCTTCAAACACATTCAAAAACTTTTCCTGTGCGATCACTTGCTTTTCAGCAGCCAATGTTTATCATGGCATTCCAGAGTGGGCGGAATTTTACCTTCCTTGTGAAACTTCCCGCCGCGGCCCCTTCTCGTCTCTGCCTGAACCGCCCGCAGAACTTTACCTATGTCGGCACTGCCTTTGAGCTTCCTGCATCTCTGAAGCCTGTAGGGCACGCCCTCAGACCACTCCCACCTTGCCGCACCTCGTCCCCGACGGAACCTCTGCCGGCTGACCTATGTCCCTTTCTCTTGTTCTGTGTTTCATTCTTCTTCATTCTTTTTCATACAAGCCCCTTGGGCTGTGACGTCGCATGTCCCAGGGAGTCCAGTGGGGAGAACGTCCCGCACTGCAGAAGCGGGGACGTGAGCTAGTGAGCTCGGTCTGTGTTCGGAAGTGTCCCCAGCTTTTGCTCGCAGGCCACAGTATCCACACGGCTCCTGCAAAGTTTCGGGGCTGAGGCTGTGGGTGTCAGGACGTTTGGTCTGCTGGTTCGAGTCTTACGTGAGGGCGTGGGGTATCAATAATTTAGGTTCGGCGGGATTCGACTATTGATGATTGTTGGCTTCGGCCTTGCGTATGGTAGTCAGGATAGTCACGCATGTCACGCTTTGAGAAGGCTAAAGCCTGAGCAAGTCAATGTGAGGTTAGTGCGTTCATCAATGCTTAGCAAGCAAGCAAGCAACTAACCCACAATCGTGGTCGGGATGTTTTAAACTGTCATGTCGAGGCGCGCAGTACTTGTGGCCAGGTCTCATCGCTAATGAGCCTTGCCAGGTAGCAGGAGCCAACAGCGGTTCAGAGAGTGCCACATGCACAGCTTGCTTCTCAAGCGTTACACATTCCAACCCTCTTTCGTGGCTTTGAGACTCGAGCCGCCGATAGACACCTCTGTACTCTTCGAAGTTGTAGCTACGGCGGGGTGCCTCAGAGTTTGCGTGTGGCCAGCAGCCGAGAAACCTGCTGCTAGTTGTGGCCCTCAAGCGGATAAGCATCAGGCCTGGCTCGTGGCATCCGCTTCACCAGGCCTCCCGGGATCTCGCAAGGTTGGGTCTTGCTTGCACTGAGCACTGAGAGGTGTCCCATTTCATCCCCTTTCTACGCAGCCTGGCTGGGTCAATGATGCGAATCTGTGGCGCGCTATGGTGCTCCTTGAGTCTGCAGTAATGACAAATGCAGACAGATGCACGTAGCGAGGCTGTAATGCGAAGTCGGTGCAGCTCAAGTTGCGGGATCCGCACACCGGCCCAGGTGCCCTCGATGCACGCCTGCTTGCGCGAGAGCTTCAGCACAACAATTGGCATCGCTGCATAAGTGTACAAGGTTCGACGCTACAGAATCCTCGTGCAAGGCTTCCAGAAGCATGACAGGCTCCATGTGCAAGCTTGGAAACACCGGAAACACCCACTGATTCCCCAGCTGTAAGTTGGCTTAGCAGATTTATGCTCTCGGGATAACCCAACTATAAAAACTGGCAAAGTCGTGAACTATGGGCTTTGGCCCAGTTCTGAACAATTGACCTCTCCTATGGGCTGTCTATTGGTGATCTGGCTTACTACTTAGCCTCCACATGAGCAGATGAGTACCTACTAGGCACATTCCCGTCCCTTCAACTTGACCCTTGCCCGTGCCTCGGGTTGACTGGCAAAAGGCATGTGTCAAGTTGGCCCCAACCTTTGGCTGGAAATCATCACTTTGCCGCTGAATTCGCTCTGCCAAAGACTAGATGGCTTCATTCAGCCACACCGGCTCGTTATGAAGTGCTGTTAGCTGTGCTGTCAGCCGAATCTGTCCGTGTGGACTGTCAAGTATACAGCCCCGACAGCTAACCAAACACTTCGTGCGTGACACATTCACCCGCCACGCCTAAGCAGCTTCATTCATGAATGGCATTAGGTTCAGAAACTTGCTTCTGCCAGGTCTTCCTGCTTCTTGCATTCGGGCAGCCAGCAGCACAGCGACCGCCATGCTGGCCAACGCGAGGGCAGAGCTTCTTCCTTTGCACGCCGAAGCAAGAAAGACGTCTTCTCCCCTCGGCCTCGAAGCATTCTAAGACCAGTGTCACGAAGACCCTCAGCTAAACCACGCCGAAGTTCGAGGCGGGCTGTGAGAGCAGCCTGGTGCTTTCCGCACTGTGAAACCAAGGCAGAAGAGCAACATCAGTCTCTGCACAGCTACTGTTACACCTCAAGACGGTTGCACTAGATGCTGCACAGCAACGGCTTATGACGGGTCAAAGTGTGTCAAACAACTGCGGCTCCATGCGTCTAACTGATGTCTTTCAAGGAACGCCCGAGCTCAATCATCGTCGCTGAGGTTCGATGGCTCCGGGTGGCTTTGACTCTCGAAGCTTCTGCGAAGTTGCCGTGCGTCTACTAGTGTATCCTATGCGTTGTCCATTGTTTTCCTGCATGCTATGGACCCGTTGGATCTGCTGCTGGTGGCTCCGATGTGACTGCCCTCTTCAGCGTGCTATGACACTGCGCGCCTTGGCTAACCACACTTTGTTTCCGATATCTCCCTGCATGAACCTAGCCGTGCTTCAGGTCCATCGAACTCATACTTAGGCTTAACTTCGCAAATTGACGTGACGCGAGATGCATGGTCATGCACCTTGAAGCACTTTGAAGCTGCAGGCCAAAGAGCATCGTGGAACCGAGATTAAACGAGATGCATCAAGCGGTATCAAGGAATACTTCGAGTACGGAGACGTTGCATGAGAGTGTGACCACTCGAGCGAAAGCATGCTAACTAGAATCCTGCGCAACTTCCGGATGTGCGAACCTCGCTGCAGAGCTTCGCCTCAATCTTGGCGGTTTCCGGGCCTGCGACAGCCGCAGCCAATTGAACTCGGACTTGGTGTGATGAATTAATAACAGCCTGTGGAGTTTTTGGCGCAAAGCAGGTCTGAGTTTCTTACTGGGGGTGCTCCCACCAGGCTGCCCTGCCTAGCGGCACAAGCGGGCATGAAGCCATTGTGTGGCTGCGGAAGTCAAGAGCAGAGCATCGAATGCCCACCTCCCGTCTTTCCCGAACAAGTTGCTCGTAAAGTTTTCGGTCCTGGCTCGATTGGTTGCGGAAGCTGGTAGGATTTGACAAAAGAGGTGCCTAGAGGCCAGTAATCGCCAATATAAAAGCCGACATGGTTCGCCTTACCAGAGAGTGACCCACAGGTGAGGTCCAATGTCTGGCTGACCAGGCGCCTGTCAGAGAGTCAGAAGGATGTTTGGTTAGGGTTTAGGGTTTAGGGTTTAGGGTTTAGGGTTTAGGGTTTAGGGTTTAGGGTTTAGGGTTTAGGGTTTAGGGTTTAGGGTTTAGGGTTTAGGGTTTAGGGTTTAGGGTTTAGGGTTTAGGGCCCAAGAAGATAAGCAATATCGAAAGCAAGCTACCAACAGCTAGTTCTCGTGATTGTGTGAGCATGTACATTCAAACCAGAACTGGCCTCTTTATGTCCTCGTCCAGCGGCGAATCACAGGTGAAACTAGGCAGATGGTTCACCTTCAAAGGCATCCACACGCAAATGCTAGCAGTTTCGGTCCTGCTCGGTTGCTCTATACACGGCCGGTCCTCTATGAGATAGGGCTTCATTTTTGCGTCAAGCATGACGTCGATGCCGAGCAATTCAAAGCACCTGCAGCAGAAGCTGTGCCCGCATCGACAAAGCAAGACTGCACCGACTCTAGACGCTACAGAGAAACACATACATCGAGCTGTCTAACGAATGCGCCTGCAGCCCATCTGACCGCCAGTCAAATCACGTGGAAACGCTCCATCGTACTCCGTCTGACAGGGAACAGACGGTGACAACCGACAAGCGTCGCCGTAGCGATAGCACTTAATTTGGTATTGGTATTGACACCCACACACACACTCAGACAAACAGGCAAGCGGACATTTCACGCACAGGAGCGTGATGTAGCAGGTACACATGGCTGATCAAGCCATGCATCACCAGTGAAAACAAGGTCTTCATTGGTGGCAGACTCTGGTCCCGCTGCAATAAACATAAAGAAGCAATTCTAACTCATGCATCTTGCACAACCCGGGTATACAGGGTTGCCCACACACACAAACAAATAGACAAAAACCCGGGTTCCCAAGCCTTAAGCGCGTACACCGAAGGACTAGTGAAAGAGGCCAACCTGAGAACCCAAAAACCGTCCGCAAAGTACCCGGGGGCTTATGTTCTTGCCGCACCAGGAACAGCCCCACCGGTGCCACACCCCTTCTCGCAGACCACCTCCCTGCGGTGGATCCCCCGACCGCCCGGGCCGCCCCCCGAAGTCTTCCGTCGAACATCCGTCGCGTGCTCGGCTCTTTTCCGTCGCCACGTCTTTTCTGCCTTTGCTTGCCGCGCCGCACCCCGCATCGCGACCCACCCGTTTGAAGACCCAATTAAAGGAGAACCCAACCCCCGAGGGTTGTTTTGGGAAAAAAAGCATTGGATGGGAGAGCTGCTGGAAAGAACGTGCTCTCCAAAACAGCAAAGAACTTGTGAGAAACGAACTCATACTAGTATCAAGGGTATCAAAGCATCCAACTGCGAATGCGACCCTTCAGGATTGGAAGACTCGCGGTGAACATGATGGAAGACGGCAAGTCCATTGCTGAGAGGCATGCTGCATGCTGGTAGAAGGAACTGGTTCTCAAAACCGTGCTGCCAAGGCCACGTTATGGTTGCGAAAGGCTCAAGGTCAAGCCTCCAGGGTCGGCTTGACCATGAGGACCGTCTTCATGCAAACACCTTGCGTGCAGCGAATGCAAGCCTTCGGCCCTGACAAGGCAAAGCTCAGCACGCGCCAGACACCGCCAGACCAAGCAAGGTCAGACAAACCCCCCAACTAGCCCCAACTCCTTTTTCACATCGGTGCGAGGCGGCAAAAGGTCTCGAGCTCGCTCAGAGGAAACCAAGCTCTAACTGCTCAAACGTGACTGGAGTCGAAACTCCAACTGGGTGCTGTAGCGAAAGTTCTTCCATCAGATGGTTCTTCCGATTGTGGGCCGGTACAGGGTCAGGGTCTTGGTGCACGCCCCACTTGACTGGACATGATGGTGGTTCACTGGTGAACCTCTTCGCCGCTTCGCCCAAGAATAGCCCTTCAGACAGCCTATGACAGCAGCGTCCCGGCAGCTTCCAACTGACAATTGTTCATGGCCATGCGCCAAGCTGTCTTCTTTGAAGTGCTTGGCACTCGCATCGCTGCGGGCCGAAACAATCGCTCGTGCGGCTCGTGCATCAAGGTCGTTCAGGTGCACACGTCTATGCGGCCCAAGCTCCTCACTGAGTCGCGCTGCTGTTGCTCTACTGACTTCTGTACGTAACATATAAAACATAAACAAATGAATGCATCTACACAGACATAGCTTTGTTTTATGGCTTTTGTAATCATTGCCGAGCTGTCAACGTTTGCAGCGTGTCAATTGGGCGTAAAGCAGGGGCCTGTCCTACGATACCGATGCTATACATCCCACGCTGAGCGTGGCATCGGCACATAACAGATTGCAAGACACAGCCTCACCCTTCTTGCTGCCGGACATAGGTGCACACATTGACAAACCCAAATCGTTGGAGTGCAATTCTGCACAAGCAGGAAGAAATTCGAACGAATCATGACAGAATCAAAGGTTAGCCCAGGTTTCAATATCTGTCAAGATTCACACAGATGGGATCACTTGACACATGTCAAGTGCGGCAGGCTTGCGCAACGCATACCTTAAGGTGGGCTGTCTTGAGCCAAAGTTGCACAAGCCCGCCAGCAAAATCGCCTAATACGAAGAACGAGGTGACAAACCCTCCGCGGGTGCATGCAGAGCTTTAAATTACAATCAGGCCAGCAGTCCAGCAGTCAGGCTCTCATTTGATGACGCCCCGAACGTAGTAATGACGCGGAAGGCAATACGGCAAGCATGCTGGAAACTGACTGGGTGAAGTGCAAAGCCTTCCGCGACTGCTTGTCAAACCTGATTGAGAACCATTTGCCTGCTACACTCCAAATTCGCAGGTCGGGGTGATGTGCCCCCAAGCCAGCATGCCTAACTGACAACACAGCAGCTCTTCTTGGCTGTAGCTTCTTCAGGCCTGCACACAGCAAGTCTAGCGAGAATGTGCTCGGAAGACCATGACCAAACGCCAGGCCAATGTGCAATGTGTGTGTGTGCTTTGACGACCAATCTGCAGCTGGAAATGCAACAATGAAATTGGACTGAGTTGAACTGAGTCGGGGCGCCTTTCGGGTTCATCAAACTGCCGCAGCCACGTGCTCTTTGCCAACAGTTTCTTCGCACTCGGTCGCTGCTCCACGTCCTTCACAACTCTATCGGATCTTGCGTGCTTGGCTTTCAGGGGTTGCATGGACGTTCCTGAACCTTCAGGCACAGCATCCCTGCTACCGCCTTCACCGCATCCAAAGAGATTCCAAAGAGTGTGACCACGTAGCCCCGTTCAACATTTCATGCACAGACCCTGCTCGCTAACGGGTCCCGCGTCAACATCTGGAAGACCAGCTCTTTTGCCTGACGCAAGAATTGACGCTCTAATCACTAATCAGGTTCAGACCAGTAACCGTCAGTTTCTAGAGCTGTCCAGCATAGCACGCTGTATCGTTCATAAGTCTTGTTTGCATAATAGTTTGTCTGTCTCTGCAAGATTGCCCGTACATTTCGTAACATTGAACTAGGGAGATCACTTAAGCCATGTCGGACGCTTCATACTTGGACTCTTCAAAGATGCGCCTCTTGTCGAGAGTCGTCCCAATGAGCATCCTTACAGCGCTGCAGCAGACTTGTTGAGGGGCATCTTCCTGTAGCTTTCGAACGCTGCAGCGCTAACATGCCTGCAGCCCTTGGACCCCAGGTGATCTCAAGACCCTCAAGGTTCGGCGAGGCAAGTATAGCAGAGGAAAGCGGACAGCGCCAACTTGGAACACAAGCACAAAGGCATCGATGTGGAACAAAAGCTTTGGCACAGGTTAGATAAGGGTTCAAGGCCTCATTCAGAAGCACATTATGGCCCCAAACCTTTGGCACGCACGGCTTAAAGATACCCAGGGAGGGGGTTGATTTGGTTCCCTCCTCCCCTTTCCCCCCAACCCCCAGCTGAGACCATTGCTGCAGGATCCATTTGATTGGATCTGATTCTCTGCAGGACGACCTGATGCGAAGCAGACACTTCGACATTTCATTCATTCCGGAAGCTGGCATGATCGAGAGCCGTAGCTACCAAAGCAATAGCACATCAAACTGCTGGCTTTAGAGGCTGCAGCCTAGCCTGCGAATGATGAGAAGGCGAGGCTACTTCGGCACACTTGGGCTGAACTCAAAGCTTGAGATGTGGGCCTTCGCTGTGTCACCCTTGCCGTAAGCAAAGGGGTGGTGGCCTCGGTAGCTGTGATGCCGGCGGCTGAGAAGTACTCGCCTCAGGCCTGACGGCCAAGCCTTTTCCCCTGTCCCAGCATGTCTCAACCCTTCCCCCCGTACCCCACAGTCGCTTGGGCGAACTGCAATCCGATGCTGTGTGGGGGCCAGCTGGGGGCCACTGCCGAAGAGGGTGGTGCAACAGAACCCTGATTCTCGGAAACTCCGAGGTGCGCTTGGGCCGGCCCGGCCGCCGAGGCGGTACACACGATCGTTTACAATTTCAATTGGAGAGGCTGTGGCTGCGGCCAGTGCAGAGCACGAACGAGACCACTCCAACACTCCACACATCACAGCGTTCGTCATAGCGTCCGTTGAGAACCTCTGCCAGATCTATATGTGGTTCTGAGGCGACATGCAAACTCATGCAGACTCGCCGTGATCGAAGGCGCTGTGTTCTATTTTTGAATCAACGCCTTTTTGTCAGAAGTTTTGCGAGGGGAGAGGTTTGACATGCCATACCACTGACGTTGAGCATGATCATGCTGCCTTAAAGATGTCAAGCGTCCTATGCACCAAACATTCTGCGACTGCCTCGCCTCAGGGGCGACGTAGCAAGGCGTGCCAAGGATGTCCTTCAGGGGCCGACCTGGCACGTCGAGAATGCTGCGGCTCCAAATCGTGCATCAGTGCATCGCTCAAGACCCAGGCGGTCCCGAAAACCCACGTGCACAAACGCTCGTTCTGGTCATGCAGCACTCATCCACCGTGGGCTCACCCCATGCCCTCTCCGAATTAAGATGCGCACGTGTGCAAACTCAGCCCATTAGATTCTTGTCGCTGCTGCAGTCTCTTGGTCGTCTGAAGCATCACTCACAGCCGCTTCCTTTGCTGGTCCCACAAGATCTTGAGCCCGCAGCACGTCTCCACATTCGACCAGACATAATCGTGACTTTACCAAGACTTGCCCGCCTTCGCCCCGTTCTTGCTCTGATCTCTTTGGCCCCGTTGGCCCGTGGCGATACAAGACTCTCGCAATGTCTTTCATGCACGGGAAGAGTTCGTGCTATCTGTTCAGATGCGAAGCTAGGTTCATCGACTTCCGAAGTCCAAGAATCGAATTGTCTAATCTAGTCTAATCATACCCTTTCACAACTGGCAGCTGGCCTTTCTTGAAAGAGCATGCAAGGCCGAAGTCTGCGAGCTTCAGGGAGGTCTGCTCACCTCTACATTGTACCTCGGCATTTTTTATTCTGCGAATCTGTTAGAACGTTGGGAAGCTAACTGAGTTTCATGTTTTTGGGCCACAGGCTGCTCTGCTGGTGCTCAGGCAGTGGCCAGGTAGTTTTCAGGCTTGATGTCCCTGTGGATGATCCGATGGTGGTGCAAGTAAGCTATGCCAGACAGCATCTGCCACCTTGGCCACGTGCAGTTCCGCCATTCTGGCCATTTCTTTCACTCCAGCCGGCACTAGCAGAATCTGTAGCTCAGACTTAAGCTCGTGAAGGCTCTGCAACAATGCACCCAGGAGATGTCCAGATCACGGCTCGAAGTAGCTGAGTCCGGAACATGAACTTGCCTGCAGGACAAATGAGTTCAACGCTGCGAGGTGCACTGAAGAAAGACTCTAATAAAGGCTTCTAGTTCTCCTTGCTGTTCCGTTTGTAGAGTCGCATTTTGGCCAAAGCTTTTTTGTCTGGTCACAGAATGTTGGAGGCCTCCAGGCAAGCTTTTTGGAAAAGGGGCGCGCTGACTGGTGGGGGGCGGGGGTGTCATAATGTGCGTGTATCATATGTGTCATATTCGGACCTCTCTCACTGAGCATTTCTGAGCCGATCTTGAAGGCCAGCAAAAGGGAAATCACGAGACCAGGCTGGGGCGATGGACAAGATAAGCAAAGCTCAGCCCCCTCAGGACAGAAAAAATATTGCCATTTCTTGCAATGGTTTCAACTCCTCCAAGCCTGGACCAAGTTCCAGACCGCCTATCAAGAGCATTGCAACCTGAGTTGCTTCCCAACAGGTCTCGACACGCCTGTTACGACCCATTCATCGAGATTGTTCAGAAGCTCAGAGGCTCACATGAAACCGCATGGCATCCGGTAAGAAAGCGTGCCAAAGTGCAGGGGACCCCTCCACCAAACCAAACCACACCGCACACGGCGCCTGTTTTGTCGACTGGCAGCTTTGCACGTGAACCCCGGCCGCCCACCTTGTATGCAAAACTAGCATCAATGAAGACACCAGGGTCTCTTGCAAAGTCTGCCTTGACAGCAGCTGCATTGGCAGAGGCCTCGCAACAACGCCGACGTGCATCACTATTGGGGGTGTGGGTTAGGGTGCAGATCGTAGATCACTGACAGAGCTACGTCCCGGCTAGAGAGCGGCTCAGCTACACGGGATGTTCAGCTCAGCATTATCAGGCTTCCGCACCAGCATCTCTGCCAATGTGCCACCTCCACAGAGCTCCATGACCTCGAAGAAAGCAAAATTGGCAGAGCACATGGGTCCGAGGGGTTTGCCACGGTTTGGTCTCGAGACTGGTGGAATCATTGGCGCTTCCTGTTCGAAGAGACATTTTGCCTGGCTGGTGTTGTTATACAAATAAAGATGTGAGAATTAATTAGAAAATTCACTCAAATAAATGTGAATCTCTAATATGCAAACACACACATACACACGTACACACATACACACATGGACACATAGACACATAGACACATGCATACATACATACAGATATACATATGCATATACATTAAGCGCATGTCGAGGTAAGTGCGTGTGTGTGTGTGTGTGTGTGTGTGTGTGTGTGTGTGTGTGTGTGTGTGTGTGTGCGTGTGCGTGTGCGTGTGCGTGTGCGTGTGCGTGTGCGTGTGCGTGTGCGTGCGCGTGCGCGCGTGCGTTTCCATTCTTATATACACATATATGTATATATATGTATATATATATGTATATGTTGTTTAGGATATAATATAACGTACTACAATATAATATAATACACTATAATACAATATAACATAATATAATGAGTGAGCGGAGCCAGGGTGGGTGATCAGCAACTGCCAGCTAAAGGTTCGAGTTCAAATAGTTCCTGAGATGCGTATGACATTAGCTGGGAGAGGGAATGGATAGTTGAGAGTGCTTAGCCGTGCTTAGAGACTGAGGTGCCGGCCAAATGCACGCATTCACCTGTCTGGAACACCTCGTACAGCTTCACGATGTACCTTGCGAGGGGTATGATTGGTCAAGCGACGGAAATGCTATGCAGGAACCCGAACCGCAGCAAGACCCATCTGGTCAAAGCATACTTATTGTTAGCACACATGTTCTACTCATCTATACTAAGCCCTTCCAACCATGCTAGTGATACGTTGACACGGCGTGTGGACGAAATTTTGCACCACCTATGTGCAAGTGACACTTCTGTTATAAGAATCGCATCTGGCCACAGCACAAAGGCCTCTTTAAATAATTATTTTTGCAGATTCGTTGCAAATTTTTTGCAGATGTGGGGTTTCGTGATTTTGCAGACGGGGCCCCGGGGCCCCTGGAGCATTGCAGCTTTGGTTGCAGATTTTTTGCAAGCCGGCTTGCAGATTTTTTGCAGACGGCCCGGCCAGGCAGAAAAGACACCATTCGGGTTTTGTCAATGGGCTTTCTAGTAAATCAATAAGCAAAAACCACCGTTTGCAAGAAACATTGCAACAGAATCGCAAAAAATTCGCAACCAATTTCGCAAAAAATCTGCAGCCGAAGTCGCAAAAAACCTGCAACCCAATTTGCAATCCAAAAAACCGTTCGCAACAAATTTGCAACCCAGCCCACAACAAATCTGCAAGCCAAAAACCAGCCGCAATCCCAGCCCGCAACCCGGGCCGCAAAAAATAATTATTTGGGCCCCCTGGCTCTGTGGCCATCCACATCTTATAACACTTCTGACACTTATGATGCAGAATTAAGCCTGTGCCCCATTTTTGCATTGGTGTGTTGCTTGCCAGGTGGTGCAACGTTGGAACAAGTCGGTGTCGAAGGCTTCCCAGAAACAATGTGAACAGTTGGAATATTCAAAAGTGGTACACGCACCACCCGCTAACCCATAATTTGCTTCCCCGCTTTCCGAACTCCAGATTTGATCACCAGATTTGGCTGTTTTTCCGGTTTGAAACTCCTTGACCTGCTTGCAGAGCTTGTTTGGATCACAAGCTCCAGGCCCATAAGGGGCTCTGCAATCCGAGCAACCGCACAGGACTGCGCCTTCAGTCCGAGCAGGTGGGCACACGACCACACCTGACCTAATCGTGCGCAAGAGATGGCTTTGGGCTTGGTTTCTTGTGTTCCCTGTCCTCTACCATCGCTTGGGTTTTGTCGACATCGTCTGTTTGGAACGTCTTGCCAGTAACAGCGACACTGCATACAAGACGGCATCAAAGAAGACTCAAGTCTCGTACAATGTGCGTTCCCAACATCTTTACTAAGTGTTTTGGCTGGCAATTTCTCTGACATTTCATACTATCGTGTTCACGGGGCTCACGAAGTTCTTTCTACATGCAGCCAACCAATGCAGTTTCGAGCGAGCACGCAAACGAGAAACCACGGGGATAAAGGTACCGCTTTAGAATCATCAGTTTGCACACCTAGGCAAGAAGAAACCGGCAGGGCACGGATGATTGAGCTGCCTGGCGATCTCCAGCTCATCTTTGAAGTGGCTCGGGTCCTCTGCGTGCTGTGTTGAATTGGGGGGGTTAAAGGGATTCCACACCACCATGTGCGGTCCTCGAGCTTGTCGAACGGAATAGACTTGAGTGCCCTCAACAGCCCTGACCTCCTGCCAGACTCTGCCCCCATCAGTACAAGTCGTGCAAAGCTGTGCAAAACGAGCTTGGAACATTTGTGGACGAAGGCCTATGCCGGACGCAGTACACGACTCCGTAGGAGCCCTTACCTGCAGATGCAAGCCGAATCATGGCGACGTATGGCATCACAAGACTCATGCTCATGAGCATGGCGAACGATGCGGACCTAGCTCTTTGGTCGTGATGTAATGGTTCTCCAAAAGCCCTGGCCACACATGTCAATTCTTGATGGCTTGCAGACGGACTGCACAGCAAGCCTGATGCTCTACTGCGCTGTCACTCCGAGGTATGAAGCAGGCCCTGGGCCCCTTTTGCAACACAAGGCTTGTTTAGGCTGGAAAGCCGTTCTCTTTGCAACGGCCCCTCTCCACGACAATCCCCGTTCTCTGCATCGACGTTTCAAAGACGGGCCCACTGCATGCGTGTCAAACCAGGAGGTGCAACAAGGGTAACACAGCGGTATTTTGATCGGCAATATGGATGGATGCTATACAGGCCTTGCGTTTCGGGAACTGAGTTCAAACTTCGAGTTGGTGGCATAGGCGCCAGCCTGAGGCCAATTTGGCGGGTTGCTGTCAGCATACATCGTATTCTTGGGACATGCAATGGCAGTACAAAGCAAGCATGCAAAAGAGCATAGCAGGAGGCGCAGCTTGGCGATACGGCGGCAGTCTGCGGGCCAGGCACAGACGGGACGGAGGACACCACTGACACATGGGACCTGACATACTCAGATGCGCGATAACATTTCAAGAGCATTGTGTTCCAAAAGCCACAGCCCGAAGAACCCAGCCTGGACCGTCGACTCAGGGAGGGGAGGCCAGACACATGCGAGTGATGCTTCTGCTGTGTCCTCGACCACTTTGCAGGGTCACACAGATCAAAGTCATCATTGGAATGTGTGTGAACATTGTTTGCTGCCCTCTCATCGACCACAGTCCGGCGGATAAGACAGGTCCTCTTTGCGTCATGAGTGGCGTCAGTGAGCTCGGAGGCCTGGTAAGAGCATGTTCAATGATGTCAAGCTCGAGGGTAAAGAAGCTCAGGGATGATACTGACGGCAAGATCCTGTAAGAGCTTTGCGTGAAACTTGGTCTGACCGACACCAGCCTGGCATCACCCCCAGTTAGTCTGGCTGGTTCACTCTCTCGACTCTTAATGCAACAGACGCTAGCAGACTCTGCTCACGCGCCTCCGACACGCAAGTCTCAGTACATGGTTCTGTAGCAACAACTGCCTGCACCGGCAACAGATTGCGAACCCCATGCGCATGACAGCTTCCACAATGTAGCTCGTTCATGCTAGTCGTTCTACCGGGCTGTCCAACCAACTCTGCGTCCTGCTCCGGAAAATTGATCTCATGAAACAGAATCTGAGCCATTCAGCGCAACTAGTCGATACGATTTCGATTTGCTTTGTCTGGAATTGCAGTAAAGCCAAAGTGAACCAATCGGCTCGCTCGATTTCCGGTACGCGTAGCCAGGTAGGGCAATACTAACTACTAGTGTGGCAGCCGGGCAACTTTTCCCTAGATCCCGCAATCCAGCCAAGATAGCCTACAACTGTGGGCGCATGGCAATCTAAACTAATCAAGCATTACACATTTTACCGTGCCTTCAAATGGTTTCCAGCCATGAGATATTGCCAGCAGCAGCCCTTCCTGTCATAAGACAGTGTCCAAGGACCCCTACTCGCATCAGCAATCATCAGCACACACCGGCCCCCTGTACCTGGCTTGCCTGTCCCGGCCTGTCCTGAGATCACTTGGTGGATTCTCGGAAGGAACGCTCCGGAATTCTGGCCTGCCAGGGTTGACAGGGTACCACCTGGATGAGGCTCCCGCTGTCATTTAGCATCATTTAGACATGTTGCCTTGCCTCGCTTCGATGGCAGCTCGTGGCCGGCAAAGGAGGCTTTATCACAAGGCTGGTGTGCTCTGTTGAATTGTAAGTATCATAGGGGGTATTGGTTGGCAGGGCGAGAAATGTGGCTGCCTTTCCATCTTTGGGCTGCTGCTTATCTAAGGACCGTTACCTTGACCATGAAAATACACTGCTGCATCTTATCGGGCTAAGCGGCTCCTCTTGCCGGCCTGCCTCTCTGCATCTTAGAGTGAAGTGAAACAACCTGGGACCAAACCTCGAGCACGACGAACACACATGAGTGGTCAGTGAGCATAGACCAGCATCTGCAGATCGCGTGGCAGGAGAGGAAGTTCTGCGATGCTGCTGGTGCTCAAACGGGCGCAAGCACACAAGGCGATAACTTGCAAAGGTGGACTGCGCACCCATCAGTTTCAACCACAGTTTCCGGCGCTCCTGATCAGCAGCTACAGCAGTTGGACAAACTCTTCTAAAACTATTCTAAGCGAGCAGGAATACGATTGAAGATTGTCTTGTCGAATTCCCCCGAGCACTGGCCACTAAAGCATCAAATGCAATTTGAAGGTTTGTGTGGTGCAACCGGCTGAAAAGAAAGTGCTCTCTCTAAGTTTTTCAAAAAGCGAACAGTTGGAAGCAGATTCAAGAGCATTCGTTGAAAAAGAGCAGATTCACAAAGCAGTCTCTCGAAAACTATATCCTGCAGCCTCTGACAAAGAAACGTCAACAAATTTCAACATTCTTCAGCACCCTTTCAGCTTGTAGCACGGCGCAGAGACTCTTTCAAATTGAGCTGAATTTGGAGCCCAGATGTGTCCTTCTCGCCGTAGGTTTCACCGATGTAGGACATGAACCACCTAGAGATGGGACACAGTGGATTCACAAAGTCCAACCCTCATGGTGTTCCGCTGATGCAAGCAACCTGAACGCAGTTTTTGCTCTTTGCTCTTTGCAAGGCAAGTGTGTGGTTTGGATGCCTCCGGTTCTGTGATCGACGTAAGGGTGGGGCCGCAAAGATCGCTTGCTACCAGCGCCATCGTCCTCCCCATCATTCTGCTGAAAATTGGAGCTGTTCTTGTTGACCTAAACGCAAAAGATGAAAGTCTGGAGTGCCCCATGCGCGTGTTTACCCGACTGCTTCCGCGAGCAAGGGCCCAACTGCCCAACTGGGAGGCCCGCGGCATAATTTGTGAGATGCATACACTTCTCATTCCTGGCACGTTGTCAATGTCATCGCATGGAAGCCCCTACATCAGGGTCACACTCCATGTGCCAACTATTGCCAACTCAAGCGTTCGCTGCTCCTACTGGAATGTGACACGACTCCGCGCATGACGAAATGTCGAAATCGTAAAGCTGGATGTGTTGCACCATGCATCTAAACTCAATTTGCCCAGCCCGCATAGTCTCCGCAGTGGGAGGCTGATATGGTGTCGTGCACAGTCGTACCTGCTGCGGGAGAACTTACACACAACAGCACGGGCTACACTTCACGCGTTGGTCTACGAGTCTTGGGCTGGCATGCTGTATCCCTAAATCACATTTCTTGCATTGTGTGGCATTGAAACAAAGCAGCAAAGGCTTTGGCTTGGCAGATGATCAACTGGTCAACTGGTCGCCAGCCCGTCGCGGAAGAGAAAGCAACGCAAGTCGAGTCCAGCTTCCCCAGTGGCCTCACAGCTCCGGGCTCTGGGATGCTCTGCAAAAGCATAAGAAAGCACGAAGAATCAGCCAAGAAACCCAAGCCCATGCTCGTGTTGTCTTTGTTTGGGGCAAGGAACTCCATTTCCCTGAAAACCTCCTAATTCTCCCACCTTCTTGGCTGACACAAGGAAGTATAGCCGCAGATCAAACTTGAGACCTTCAATGAGCATCGGCCTCACAAAGTTCGCACGTAAGGCTCAGTCCGGTGCTTTGAAAATATCTGAAATCTGACCCTCACTCGAGAGATTCTCAGGCCTGGAAAGGTATCTCTGGACGACGGTGGCCTCTCAGATCTTCCCTCCACATGTCCATGCAGGCTTTCTTCGCACCGGCCTCGTTTTTTTTGCGGCTCTCTTCGGCTGCCTGGCGCAGACCTCAGCTCCGGACGCTCACCGGGGAGCCTCTGTGGTTTCAGCCATGTCTGAGCATGCTGCGGTCCAGCTCGGTGGTAAGGAAAATGCCCCGACCCTGTCCGAACATGCTCGCTGACGTTAAATTCAAGGGGCGAGGAAAAATCAAGGAGTGAAAGGTTCCAGCGCCAGCAGTGACCCTTGGTTTGAACGGATGAACTGGCGCCTGGCACAGGTGATCCGGCTTGACGATATAAAAGACCTGTCGGAGTGTCAGAGACGCATGCGAACGCAGCATAGAACGCTGTCTTGTATGTCGTCTTCTCAGAGTGCTGTGTCAAATGGTGTCAAGTCACAGTGCGTCCCTATATACAAAGGACCTTGGAGTCTTGGTTGCCAAATCTCTTCTCCAGGTCTCCAAGGTCATCTGGAATGACCTGATGCGGCACAAAACAGTTCAACCCAGTCTTTTGGATGGGTCGGCATGCGGGGTCGTCTGTGGCTAGGCGCGTCGCCCAAGTGGGAGGTACGAAGCGATACGCAGCTGGAAATAGTCTCTGCATTCTGGTCATATTCCTGCCCAAGCACTGTGGGAACGATGTAAGTCAGTGCTGACATGTGTCGGCACGTGTCAGTTTAGCTGCGAATGTCCTTGCCAGGCGAGTTTTTCGCGCCAGGGCATTGTTCATTCCTAAACGAGACAAACACTCCCACTTTCATCGCTACATGTCCTCGGCTAGCAAGCAACCCACACAACATCAAGTATATGCAGAAATATACATACACAGATATATAGATAGATATAGATATAGATATAGATATAGATATAAATATAGATATAGATATAGATATAGATATAGATGCAGATATAGATACAGATATAGATACGCATATAGATATAGATATAGATATAGATATAGATATAAATATAGATATAGATATAGATACAGATATAGATGTGTAAATATACGTATATAAATATAAATAAATATATATATATATATATATATATATGTGCTTGTATATCTATGTACATTTTCCGCTATTTTTATTACTATTTCTATTGTAGTATGTTTTTTTATATGTACAAAGACTTTTTAGATTACATATAAATGTGTAGAACTGGGCACCACAATCTCGAGATCGGCACGTCCTTTCTTATGCTTTTTCACCTGTATATTGCTATGAACCGCGCTGGACACATTAAGAACCGACATAGTTACATGTGTAAGCTACATATGCATACAGACATATGTATACATATATACATATGCTACCGGATATTATATTATATAGATACAGAGATATCAGATATCTGTGTTTTCGCCTGAAAGGATGGCCAAGGTGTCAACGTAGATAAAGGAGATTTAGGGTAACGAGTTTCCGCCTACTTCAGACACCTGCGAAAATCTTTCAGACCAGAGGTCAATCACAAGAGAAGATCTGCTGAGCTTTTTGAACATCACATTCTGTAAATTGCACGTATGTACCATAAAACTAGACCATGAAATGCAGTATGTACTCCCTGCCTCCCTGCTGGTCCATACTGCGTACAATGCAAGGGCCGCTGGCACTTTGAACATCCATGTCACACGTATGCAGCATTTCCCAATCCACTACATGCACACACACACACACGAAAATACGCGCCAGCAATCTCCCGAAATTCACAAGACCCCACTTGCCTGGAAAATGATTGATCCTCATCCAGGGCTCTACCTGCACTGACAGCGACTCAAGAGAAAGCACATGCTTACTGCATTCCCACTCTCATTCTGCACACGAAAGCAGGTCCCTTCCTTTCGGATCCAATCGCCGATGTTGGCATCGTCTATCCAGTGGATGTTGCACCTGAAGCCGACAGGTTTGGAGCTTTGGGATCTGCTACAACATGGCGAGGGCTTGCGGCTGGAAGGTGGTCGACTAAATGCACGACTCAGGCCAGAACATCGTAGCCTGAAGCAAGCAATCACGAGCAATCCGTTGGGCTCTCTCGCACAGAGTCACACCTTGTCTTCGCACTTGACTACACGCCATCCTCGCTCCTCAGCAGCTTGCGCCACAACCTGGCTCAGACGCTTGTGCTGCACTGGTAGATCCATGAATCGAACAGAATCGAACACCAGCTTCCTGCCCGGCCTCGTAATCGCTGTGCGAAGCGTTGAACTGCACAGCGCCACCTTTTTTACGAGGCCTCGCGCAGTCTGCAAAATACCAGAAAACAGATTTTAGCATCACGCAGCAATGCAGCAAGCAACATGGACACCTTCGCGCACGTACCACGCGAGAGAATGACTAGTTTTTCAACTGCCGTCAACTGGCTCTACTCTCAGCAATTGTCGTGGAATCTCACCCAACTTGTGAACAGCACTTTTGTTATGGCCCATTTGTGCCCGTTCACACCTCGTGTATTCAATAGAATTAGGGTCAATAGGGTTTGAAACGGCCTTGTTTCTTGCCTGCTCGAGCCCCGTACTTCCAGATGTTGTAACATGTCATTTGCTGCAAGGTAAAGAGCACCGATTCGCGCACCGCGGATTCTTGTTTTCATCAGTCTTCTATTCTTCGTCTTCATTCTACATGTTGCATGAACGTCCACAATAACAAAATATCCTAGATTCGCGAACAGGTGGGGTTCGCGCTCGGGACGGCGGATTCGCCCACACGAGCTTCGCGCATTGACGCGACAGATTCGTGCACAACGAACTTTGTGTCGGACTGTCGGACTCGCGCCCCGCTTCCTTAAGATCAGCCCCGAACGCTAAACCCATCAAGCCCCACACCCTCAGCAGCTAAACTCCTAAAAGCCTTCAGCCCTAAAACCCCTAAGCCAAAAATATATCCTTGGCCTGTACACCCTAACCGCCTAACCTGCAAAGTCGAGATAACCCTGAGAATCCTAAAAGCCCCAAACCCTAAAAGCCGTTCAGCCTACTGGTAAATCTCTCAACCCTCAAAACCCGAAGCCGTTCAGACCCTCGGCTTGGAAAACCCTGGCGTTTTAGTTTGTAGAGAGTGCCTGGGGGTGGTAGGAGGTGCCAAAACCTTCAGCCCCAACACCTAAACCCAAAAAAACACCAACCCAAAGTAGAACTCTAGCCCAGAAAAAACCAAAAGAACAGAGCCATGAATGCCGAACTTGAAACTGTGCCCTAAACCCCTTTAAACCCTCAAGCCAAAGAACCTGTAACCATCAAATCTCAGCCCTCCAAACCCTAAACCCCTGTGCAACACCCCCTAAACCTGCGATCCTAAAACCCCTTACAACTCTAAGAACCCTGCATACACCCTAAACGCTGTAAATTTCTTGAAGACCTTCAACCCTGAAAACCTCAAGCCAGAAACACCCTCAGACCCGAAAAGCCACCAGTGCTTGAATGAGATTCCAGCTTGGACGGCACGTGCTTGAATCGCCAGTGCAAAAAAAGCCGGTCGCTTTTCTACAAACGATTGCAAGGCCCTGCAGAATGCCAGGTAATGTCAGTGCGCGTGCAACATGTCCAGACCTGCCAGTGGGAACTTCAGCTGCAGGTGTCCTGACACCACATGATACCACTCTAAAACGGGGCCAATGCCACAAGCATCAGGCACTGATGCGGCATCTAGGTGTCCACCCGTCTTGGAGCCGCACACGCTGCACGACCGCTGAGGTGAGCCCGAGCCTCGGCAAAAAGCTCGGCCCAGTTGCCGCTTCTGAGCTCCAAGTGGGCTCAAGTACTCAACATACTATCAACATCCGCAACTGTCATCCAGCATCACTCCAGCATCAGTCCAGCATCATCCGCCCCCGGCCCTGACTTGAGCACTCGGCTCGGTGAGCCGGGTCGTGGCGAAGATCGCCGCCTGGAAAAGGCAACTGCTGAGTGGCACGTGCAATAAACACTTTCGTCCGCCTTCCGGGTCCCTGTACTTGCGACTTCATGCTCCCAGTTGCTGCCGTTTGCGAGCAAAAAGCCAAGGTCAAAGCGACGCAACATCGGATCGCGAGTCTGGGGATGGCGACCGCGTTGGCCTTGGCGGCGTGCTATACATGTTCCAAAGTCGGCAGCCCCTTGGCCTGGTTACCGTCTGAAACTTTCACAACCCGGATTCAATCCGTCGCACTGAAGGTCTGAGAGCCAGCTTTGCCGCAGTCACCATGCGAATTTCATGTTGCTTTTTCGCTTCTCGCTCGGTTTAAACGATGCAAAATGACCATGCTCAGATGTCAACCAGCACCTTGCCAGAGGCTCGGCCCGTCTCCAAGTACTCGTGGCCCTGTGCCACCTCTTTGAGTGCGAAGGAGCGATCCTGCAGCTACCAACACTCCGCCACCAGCACCCACTATGAAACTCTCAGCTTCAAACGCGTCTGCTAACATCCTCAGAATGCAGTCTGCGTTGAGTGTCCGCACCGTGTCCACGAATTCCACGATCAAAGCGTGGTGGTGGGAGGGAGATGGGGGAGCGGTGCTGGCCGCTCAGCCGCACAGCAGTGATGATCACATATCAAGGACGACGATGACCAGTGACCACAACGACGATGACGAACAGACATGTTCTATAAGTTCTATATGCTAGAGGTGCAAAAACTGAGAGGCAAATTGAGAGCCAAGGAGCTATGACCGGCTTGATGCTGCCTGGCTCGGGCTCGGGTAAATGGAGCCCGAGAAGAGGAACTTGAAAAACAACAAATCCTAGACATTCCCAGACCGTGCCGGTGCTTCCTTGAAACTCTTAAAAGTCTTAAAAGTATGGATGGCAACATGTCAGCGTGTGTCATCTTCACCTTCATTCATTTTCAACTTCACAGGCCCACGGTCAGAACCCTTGCCTGAACATTCACGGAGACCCAACGTCGCCATGTGCATAGCTGGATAGCATGAGACTGAGAGATTCGCCAAAAGGGAGACCCACAGTTTCTGCTTCACCCACCGAGTGCCTGCATCGACCCAGCTGGCAATGCTCCGCAGTGCAGCCGCGTCGGGGCTCACCGGATCGCAATGATAGTACAGCCCAATACCTTAGCACGGTTGCTGCAATTTCAATGTTTTTCGTCGGTCAATGCATGCTAGTGTGACATCATACGGTACTTATACAGGACACCCATCTGCTAAACGTTGCCGCGACCGGCTGGGGCTCCGTCCAAAGTAATCTGCCAGCAAGCTGTTGCCCCACTTCCTGCGCAGGGAAACTGATGATGGACGGTCTGAAGAAAACACAGCTGGTCTGAGGACAGTAAAAAAACAAGGTTGAACCAGGCTGAACTCTCAAGTTTTTCAATAGCAACCCAGAAGTCTTGAGAAGCGGCCGGGCAATCAGGAGCGGGCCCAGTTCACCGTCATGTGGCTCCCAGTCGCTGCTCAGAATGTTGATGTAGTGGCCCACGCCTACCGTACCAAATGCAATATGCATCTTTGAGAAGCCGGCCATGAAAGCTAGGGCAAGTAGACAGTAGCTCGCACACAGCTGCAGCCTAACTGTTGCGTGCGCAACATTGGACAACAGCTCACAAACATGTGGGGCCCATGATGGCCCGTTTCCATGGCAAAGAGCACAGATCCTGGTTTCAGGACGTGAAGGTGACCCCCCTCTGCAGTTCCTCGGTATATCTGACCACAACCCCACAAAGAAGAAACGGCAACCAAGAACGAAACGAAAAAAGCCACTAGCTTTGTTTTGTGGCTCTGAATCGCTCCTGTCTCTCGAGCATCCTGCCTGGCTTGAGGACCTGCGAGGATAGCGTGCGTGCCTCGTACTCCTCACAAAAAAAAGAACAAGCGCAGTGGGTGTGAATTGGAGAAAGCCAGCCATGCCCCGCAGAAGCAGTGCGTGCCTGCGTCACTGGGTCGAGGACCACGTCGAGGTCTCTAAGCACATCTTCGAAGCGGGTCGTCCTGTAGTTGATGACCTGGTCAGCGCCCAAACCTGGAATTCGGAATGCGCAAGTCCAAAGCCTAAAGGACTCATGACCCCCCGCGTTGAATGGGAGTGCGATCAAGGACTGATCCGTACCGCATAAGATCTCGTAATTGTTTGGCTCAGTGGCTCCTGACCAGTTCTTCCTTGGCAGCACTCGCAGTAGTCACCACGTGCATGCCCAACCTGTAGCTTGAGAGACGCGAGACTGGCGAGACTGTCCACCCCCTACCCAGTAACAGTCGGTTTACCTGGTGCATATTGAGACCGACAGCTGTGCAAGCTGATTACTAGAGTTGGATGCTGGTGTACTGTACATTGCGTCATGTTTTCGATCACAAGTCAAGAGACACATTCTTGCAGTACTGAATCGCGAAGGAGCCGACCCCGCCAGCACCAGCTTGCACCAAGATCTTCTTCCCCTTGCTGCTCTCGCCACTTCGTTGCCAAATGCGGAGGACGGGTGCCAGGGCTTGCACTACAGTGAGCCCAACCAAAGGCAATCCTGCCGCTTCCCTGGGCGAGATTGTGGAGGGCACGTGGGCGATGATGGTGTAATTGGTAACAACATATTCTTGGAATGCGCCCCAGCTCTGGCCCTGTATCGGTAGCATGCCATACACGCTGTCTCCAGGTCGGAACCCCAGCACCCCTGATCCGATCTGCTCAACTTGTCCAGAAAAATCCAGGCCCGAAACAGCAGGCAAAGGCCGCAAGTACTCCACTGACGGATTCCTCCTTTGCTTGAAGTCTACAGGGTTCAAACTCCCAGTGTGGACTTTGATGAGGACTTGCGTTGTTTCGCAGCACATTGGTCGTGGAATCTCTGCCAGCTGAATCACCTCGGCCGGCCCTGGCTTGGCAAACTGCGCCGCCCGCATTGTCCGGCTCGGATCTTGCAAGGCCGGCTTGTATCTGGCGCAGGGAGGACGCCCTCAGGACCCTGCCCGACAGCTTTCTGAATTCCTGTGTTTTGTTCACGATTTGCTGGGCAGTCTTTGTGCCATCCGACTGCACCCGACCCGATCCCTTCAAGAAGATCCGAGAAGCTGGATGAAGATTTGCGAAGTTCTGGTGTCGCGGGATGCCGACCCTTAGCCTTAAGCGACCCCAACCCCGACGAGCTTTTTGACGAGTTCTGGAAAAATCCAGCGAATTCCTCGGTTACCCAGTTCATCATGTCCCCCTACCAGTTTGGGTTCAGGGCTACGGGTGTTCTCGATGCCCAGGTCGCGGGAAAAAAACATCTTGATGTGGTTTCACTCCATGGAGGGGTGAGGGACGGGGGAAGGGAAGAGGGGGAGGGCAGAGATTCTGGGTTTTGGGGATGTGCAAGAGGGGTTCAGGAAGGGAATTCCGGCATAAGAGAGCATTTCAAGCATTAGGGGTAAAGGCTTTCGGGGTGGAGGCTAGGGAGGCCTGCTGAAGGAGTTGTACAGAATGCTGAGTTCATACAGCAGCACGCCCATGACCAACGCCACATGTATGCAAAGCACTTTGGCCAAAGACGCAATGAAAGCCATTGCTGCTCAGAGATCCTTGCTGTTTCGGAACAGTTTACTGAGTTTTCTGAGCCGTTCCTGCAAGGTTGAGGACAATAGGGCTACTGTTGGCATGCGTTACCAGCTGCGCTGTACTTGTTTGTGCTGCAGAGCCATAGGTTGTACCATTAGCAAATCTCATGCTTCCGTGCTGCCGAGATCAAATGAGAAGCACTTGCATGAGTCGGCCTACTTTCGAACAGATTACGAGACCGCAAAGCAAGTCTGAGATCTGCACGAGGCAGACGGCGACTGCTGTGGCTCTGGCCAGAAGTGCAGGCCTTCATAATCTGAATGAATCCGCAAGGCATGGTGATTGTGGCAAGTTGTCATGGGACCACAGGAGGGTGAAAACGTGGCTTAGCACAGATACGCCCACCCCCAGCAACCTTGAAGCAAAGAGAAACCCTTGAGGAGTACAAAGGCTCCCTATTTTAGGACTGGGTAGCTGTCTTCGGAACCCAGGACCCCCAAACGCGAAAAAAAGGCCGCTGGGAAATCTAGGGCCCCAAACCCGGGGGGGGGGGGGTCGAGGACATGCCTTAAGTTCGAAGCGCGGAGCTGAAAAAAGATAGAGAGCCGAGGGCTTAGGATCTGCGGGATTTTCTTACTGGTTCTCAGGGGAATGGGGGAACTAGGGTGCCTATTTAGTCACGAGCGTTGCTTCTCAGACATCTCAGAGACATCTCAGACCTTCAGCCCTCGCTTCGTCTTCGACAGCGTCATCGCTTAGATCCTCCTTGAAGAGTGCGAAGCACGAAGTGACTCTTGCATGGCTACATGGCTCGTGAGAAGTGTGCTATGTATCTTGCTGTTTCGAACACAGGCTTCAATATCACATGCGTCCTAAAGTTGTGAGGTCCTCGTCTTCGTCACTGGCCGTGGGCGGACTGCCGCGTGCCTCCATGGGCAAGCAAGATGCACAGGCAAAGCGAGGAGAAGTATAGAGCCCAGGACATGCTTCTGGAGCCGGAAGCTTGATTTCTCAAATGTTCCGCTGCTCTCTGTATACCCTCAGGAAGTGGAAGACTCTAAGGCTCTAAGGATGCTTAAGATCATGCCCAAATAGCAACTCAAAGAAACACGCTCAACACAAAACATCTTGCCCCGAAATTCTCCGAAAACTCCAAAAAGAACACTCAAAATCTCAAGAGCACACACCTCCAGAACTTGTCTGGTCAAACATGTTCCGCTGGCAAGCATTGCCAACAGTTGCTTGTCCCAGACCATGGCGCGCACGGACTCAGGGCTGACTAGGGGCTGGCTTGGAAGGGCTTGGGTTGGTTTAGGGGGTGAGGTTACAGCTTTATGGCTGGCTAGCTATAAGATTTTGATTGTCAAACTGTCAAACCCTAAACCATACTCAAAAAGTCCAGACTTGGTGAGACTCCCGTGTAGCAGCTTCTCTCGAATTTAAAAGCCCGATGCGCTCCAAACTCACTAGGCAGCACACGTGTTATGGTTCGGCACGTCTGCCGGAATGTTATTTCTGTTGGACTGCTGTTATCCTACTGCCTTGAACCATGACTCCCCCTCAACACGCAACCACTGACATTTCGTTGTCACTGAGGACTTTGTCAAGAAAGCGTAGTTGATCATTACGCCCAATGAACTGCACATGCATCCATCGAATGTGCGCAATGCCATGAACCTGCTTCCCCGGTCTTTTGGCTGGTGCGGCAACACATTGCGTTCCTCGCTTCTGCAAAAGGTCGCAATTCCGACGTGGTGGATGCTCCCGCCAAACTATTCGAATAGATTGGCCAGCTTGCTCGACACTTCTGAAGTCTTCTGACATGTGGTGCGTTAGCCAATCACCACGTCGGCCATTGCTATCGATTGTTGAATATAAAACCTGGGACGATGCCTTCGTTGTCGTCCGAGTCTTCGTCCAGTGCTGCTGCAGAGCTATCATTGAAAACAAGCTTCTCCGGTTGTTGAGAATCGGGAATCAGCTCTTCATCATCCTCATCGTCGTCGTCATCATCATCATCATCGTCATCGCTGCCTTCTGACTCTTCAGTTTCTGACGGTTCCCGTGGCTTGGCCGGCGTTTTCGAGGATGCCTTGCCGCTGTCACCTTTGCCACTTGAGAGAAACACATGCCTGGAATCGCTGGACCATGTCCTGATGGGTCGTCGGCTCCCTCGCGACTCCTCTTGATGGGAAGGCTTATGCACACGGCCCATTGCCAGCATTCTGGCTGTGGGTGGCGGCGTTCTCGCGCGCGTCTGGCGTGCAGGGGCCCCTCCTCTCCGATTCCACTTGGCCTGCATCTCCTCTTCCAAGGCCTGCGCATGTCAGAGCCAGGAAGGCAACACACAGACACACATCTAAGACAATGTTCAATGCTTGTGTTTCTGGTCTCGCATCAGACAGGAAACAAATTGGCGCTTTCGGGCCCTATGCCGCACCTGAAAAGACTGGGTCAGCGCACCATGCTCCTCCCGCAGCGAGCAGGAATGAGCAGGATCCGGCATCGTCTTTAGTCGTGTGCCGGTTTGGTCAAGCTTGCAACTTCAAGAGTTGAAGATGTTGAAGCGTATGTAGAACGTTCGTTTTGTGCCGGCAGTGTATTCAGTTGTGTCTCCACGCTTATGCTCGTATTTGCTATACAGTTGTAAACAATATCCGCGTGCAAGACAGCAACACTGAAACTCCGATCTCTCGGCCGGCCTCACGCATCTCGTTGTAAACCTGCGGCTTCACACAACAAAACGCAAGTTTGAATTACCAACTGCATACGTCCGACGGATCGGCGCATGCAGAATCAGAGTTGCAATTGTTCGGGCAAATCGGTCAACTGATGAGGAAATATGTGCTGCGCGTGTGCGCGTGCAAGTGCATGTGCGACTCTGTGAAGACAAGATGAAAAAACATCCGATCAGCACGAGTTGCTACATGTCCAGTTCCTTGCCACGTCCAGGGGATGATTGCGGCAAAACAGATTGTGAGGTTTACGCGAGAACTGCTCTTGCGCAGTCAAGTGTTCATTTGTTGTTGATGTTGTCTGTTTATTTCGTGCTCGATGCTTGAAAGCAAGGTTGGTTTGACATGCTGGGCTCTGACTCCATGTGCGCCGCTGCCTCGTCCACATCGTCCATTATTGTTGTCTACTCGTCGGTGTTCGTCCGCAGTGGGCTTCGCCCATGCACGGTGAGAAGGCTTCCGTGGAGCACAAACTCTGGAGTGAAAGGAAGCCTTTTGAGAATATCATGCTGCCATCAGCGTCGCGATCTCTGTAAAAACATGCGCCTCTGCCAAACAACAGGTTTCGGGGTTGGAGCCTGTAGCGGTTGGAGCGACAATAATATTGCGAGCCGCAAGCAGGCTAGAACACGATTTGGAGCCAAGATGCGCATCGCCCCAAGCAAGAGTGGTGTGGACGCAGCGGGACCGAACCGGGAGCACGATTTCCAGGAACAAGGACACGCACAGGCCGCCTCGAGCGAAAGAGCGCAGAAGAAGCTGCAGCCACACCGGACACAACGGGATGGACACAACAGGACGAACTCCTCCCATAAACCTGACGCCTCCAGAACTTCTGATGCCCCCAAGGCCCTAGACAGCACCCAACAATCCGAGTCGTTTATCACTTTGGATAGAGCTGGTATGTGATGCTCCTGTTCGTGCTGCCTTTCGTGGTGGATTCTTGGCTCCTGGAATGCCATCTCGCGCCTCACTGGAAAACTGGAAACTTTCGAATGTACAGCCCCTTGGCATGTGTCCCCAAAACCAAGACCAAATCGGGTGCAGGCTCGCAGCGAGAAAAACCAAAAAACAATCACATCTGAAAGGAGAGAGTTTGTTGGACCCTCTCTTAAAAACAAGTCCGTAAAACACAAATTCCTGGACAACACCAACCTCCCGGTAGTCCAGGTGGGCTTGGATCAGCATCTCCGCTGAGTCCAACTGCTCAGCCAGGCCGACCAACTCTAGATCCTCGTCAGGAGATACGTCATTTGAACTAACGCACACAGATTGCAGCATTCATTGCAATGAAGCAGGATGAAGCAGGATGAAGCAGGATGAAGCAGGAAAGGGTCGCCTTGGGGTGCATTAACCTCTCAGATAATTTTCTCATCGTACCTTCTCTGGGCCCACTCTACAGCAACCCCATGCCTGACATTCCTCGGACAGCTAGGTGCGCTGTGATGCGTGTCTAGTCAATGACTTTGGAGACTTTGGAGAGTTGCTGCACTTTGCAGTGACATTGCATGTCATTGACGATAAGAATTTCGGAAGCCTGAACTTCCTGACGCAAAACCGTCGCAGTACCCTTCGACTCCTGGGACGACGACGGGTACAAGCGCAGGCTCAGGAGCCCAGCCTCCGTCTGCAACTCTCGCAGCTGGCAGTAAGACTTCTCTCTCTCTCTCTCTCTGCACAAGGCTGGAATTGTTTATTCCCCACCCTCGGTGTGTGGCTGTTAAACTTTAAACTCAACTCTTCTCCTCGCCCGGAACTCTTCTCCTCGACCGGTCTACTCCTCGCTCGACCCTGGAGTGCCCGACCCCAGAGTGTGCCTGGAGTGCCCATGCCCAACCCCAGAGTGTCCCTCGAGTGCCCAGCCCAGGGTGTCCCTGGAGTGCCCAACCCCAGAGTGTCCTTACCCAGAGAGGGTGGGGATGTTCGAAGTAAAATATTTCAAATATCGTGCAAGAACTTCGTGAGGAAGTGAGCCGTTATGCTGCTGATGTGTTCCCTGCTTTTCCCTGCTGACATCCCCTAAAGTTCCCTGCGTTGACAGTTCACACATCCGTAAGGAAGTAGGAAGGTAACCTTGGAAGCTATACTGCGTGTTAGCGCGATGCTTCAGCATTCTTTTCCGCGGCGGATTCGTCACGATGCAGCTTTGTCCATTTGAGAGCTCACGGCAAGAATCCGTTGAAGAGGCTATGTCAATGCTTCCCCGTGATTCTCCGTGTAGCAGCAGTGTATGTACAGATGGACATGTATGCACGCAAACTGTACTCTGTGACAGATTCCAGAGACAGCTTTGAATAAGAAAGCTTCCGGGTCTCAGATTTGGGAAAGGAGGACCCCTCTCAAAGGACTCCTCTCTATCCTTCACGCGGACTTGGTAAGTCCCCTTGCTCCAATCGCCAGCGCTCAAACTCCGCCTCGCACATGCCAAGGGAGAAAATCAAGCAAGCAAAGACGAATGTAGAGCACTCTGTGGCTGTTGACTTCACCACTCTAACCAAGACTCAAAAATATGCATCCCCCAAGAGACTAACCTGGCATATGATTGGAAACCATACACGGTCCCTCGCCACATCGAAATCATCTCACGGCATGATCGCACTTTCCACTGCCAACACACCCACACACAACAAGCTGGTTTAAGTTGATCAGCCGCCGTTGTCACACTTGAAGGTTGAGGCAAAATGCAGTGGCCGCACATCCCATTGGGTTGCACATGCCACGTGCGTGCAGGATCACATGGGTGCCCAATGCACAGCACACCTCACACGATTCAGCGGATCATGTTATTGAGCTCGCCTCGCGCTCTCGCCTCTGCGCGGCATCGCTCAGCTCGTCGACTTTCTGCAGCACTGCCTGCCGACTGTGACATAGGACCCAAGTCGCCGCAAAACATCAAGATCATGAAGGCCCGACATCCGGCAATATACAGTACGTCGAGCCCTGAGACAGCACCACATGGATTACAGAGGTAACCCCGGCATTTTGAGAAGCAGAAACTACCCAATGAAGAAACTCTGTCATGCTCTGCCTGCCCCATCTCTCGCGCCTTGGTGACTAGGCATAGGCAGACTCACACTCTGTGTATCTTTGTGTGAGTTGCGTCCAACTGCTACAGATTAGCTTGGGAAAGCACCTGCATTTCTTCTTTCTCAAGTTCCTTGCGAGAAACAACGATGACGACAAACTGACAAAACAACACGGCTCTTTGCCGTCCAACGCCAGTCTACTACCTGTAGCCATTTCCCCGCCGGGCTTCCGGACCCTTGGACCACCACAACTCAATTCTGTCGCAGGCTAGGCCTATTGTTGTGCGCTGCATGTGCTCCGCAACTCTTGCAGGATTCAGAATGCATTAAATACTTGGAATCCTGACAGGGTGCTACGCTTTTGAGGTTGTTTGAATTGATGCACAGCTTCAGGGCTTTAACATGCTTTACCAAGGCAAGTTACATGGGGGATATGTCTAAGTTTTGAAGCAATGGTGCTTGCGAAAATTCGTCTTTGCAAGAACCGTCGCCATTCGATGCAATGAGCAAGCATACCGTGAAAAGCGGTTTCTTCAGGATTGCATCTCTGCGGCTGGGCACTGCGGGGATGCAGCGCTTGGCGGGATTCTAGAACTCTGCGGTGCTTTGCAGGATTGGAGTGGGAGTGGGCTCTAGGGATGCTCTGGTTCGAGCTGCTCTGGTATAACGTTACGCCCATGATGCCCATGCGCGCGGGTGCTTGTACGCATGCGTGGTGTGTGGATGCCTTCAGAAGCGTCCCCTCACCTTAGCCATACACCAAACGCACGCCCAGAATCTCCAATGACTTGGGCCAGATTGTTGCTGTTGAGTTTACTGCTGCGAAAAAGCACATGCCAAAACAAGCACAGTCCTGCTTCTGGACACGCTCCTTTTGCTTGACCTTCTTCTGCGTGTCCAGCTTCTCTTGCTGGCAAAACAGAGCGATGCTGAAGAAAGGATGGAATCCGCAACGTCGCAAGAGCTTTCGTGAGCCTGGCCTCCTCGCGTTGGTTGGCGGCCCATATCGGCTCCTCCTCCGCCCACTCCTAACAGACGAATAAAATCCAGAAGAGTTCTGAGTTCCCGGCGTTGAACTTCGGTTTTGCTGCTTGACCACAACAAAATACTCAGAAAGTGACACTCAAGCCACCTAAAGGGCAAGGACGTGGAGACCCGACAAGGCGACCGAATGAATATGCCCCAAGATCCACAATGTACAAGGACTTCGCCCCTGCGTTGTCAGTCAGACCGATCAACATGAACGTTGCGCATGGCTGCACAGCACACCTCGTCAAAGTTTCGCAGCGCGCACTCGGTCTCCTCGGAGATGTAGCTTTTCCTCGCTGCAATGATCGAAGCAAGCCGTGTGAAGTTTGGAACGGCGCCCTTGAGGTGTGTAAGTTCAGGTGCAAAGCGGTCCAAATGTCCACACAGCGCACGAAGTCCACCGGCCTTCAGCGGTACTCGAACATGACATGACGCCATTCTGGACAAATCCAGACAGGAGTGCCACTCACACACATGCGTGTCACACACACACACACACCTACACATCATACGCACCACACGCATCCAGGGGCATCCCATGCATCACTCCCTTGCATCACACTCATCACACACACACACACTTCACGCCCCACACACACACACACACACACACACACACACACACATGACACACATTTCACACCACACACACACACACACACATCGCACACATGCACATCGCACACATGCACATCGCACACATGCACATCGCACACATGCACATCGCACACATGCACATCTCTCACACACACACACACGCACACACGCACACACGCACACACACACACACACACACACACACACACACACACACACACCACACACACACACACACACACACCCACACACACACACACACACACACACACACACACACACACACACACACACACACACACACACACACACACACACGCCCACACACGCCCACACGCCCACACGCCCACACGCCCACACGCCCACACGCCCACACGCCCACACGCACACACGCACACACGCACACACGCACACGCGCACACACGCACACGCGCACACACGCACACACGCACACACGCACACACGCACACACGCACACACGCACACGCACACACGCACACACGCACACACGCACACGTACCCGCACACGCGCACGCACGAACGCGCGCACACTATGCCCATCTGCGTACTAGCTCAGCCGTCGCCAGCGCCTTCTTGAGCTTCTCGATGTATTCTCCTTTCTCCGCCAATTCCGTCCTCATTCTTTTTATCACCTCTGATTCATTTTCCCCCGATTTGGCGTTCAGCTGATCTTTGGGCCATTCTCCATTCTCTTTGAGGGTTTTATTGTGTTCTTCGAGCTTCGTGACCCTGGCCTTATACTCCTCTTTCTCCTTTTCCAATGCCCTGGACAGACTGCTATGATCCGGTTTCTTGATCCTTTCCTTGAGATTGTCATTCTCTTCGCAGAGGTCCACAATCTTCTGCGTCGCTCTATCATGTGTTGCCATATTAGTTCTGGCAATCTCCTTCAGTCTCTCGATATTTTCCTCAGCTGCTATCGCCTTAGCTCGCCAGTCATCCCTGTCCTTGACCGCATCCTCTTCGGTCAATGACGCCTCTTCCATCGTTGTATCGGACGACTTTGCCCCTTTGGCGGCCTTCTCTTCCTCTATGAGTCTGGTTTTCAGGCGATCTGTAGCCCATTTATAACGTTCAACTTCCCCCGCCATCACTGCGAGTCTCCTTATGAGCTTCCCAACTAGTTCGGATGCCTTAGATCCATCCGTGGTGCTCATCCATCTCCGTATCCTCGCACTGTCCTTTCCATTCCACCATTTCCTGGATCTCTTCTGGCTTGTACCATTTCTTCATCTCCTCATCAGGAGTCACGCACGCACGCACGCACGCACGCACGCACGCACCCACACACACACACACACAATCACACTCATAAACACACACACACACGCACAACATCACATTCATCACATCAAATTAAACCACATCGCATCAAAGAACACATATACTTCACGCAAACGCGCACCACGCACACACGAACACGCGTGCATCACACACACCCACACACACCCACACCCAAATCCACCCACACACACACACACACAAACGTACAAACATACAATCACACAACAACGACAAAGACAAAGACAAGAACCAACCGGCCCAGCCGGCGCACGAGTTGCCGAGAAGATGCCTGTGTGATCCTGTGTGTTGCTGCTGGCATCTCCAGATTGAGCTCCTGACTTGCAGAAGATCTTAACCTGAACGTGGCAAGGTATTGAAGACGCGAGGCAGGTCCAAGGCAGCTTGAGATGCACACATTACACAGCAAAAAGCGCTTTTGTGGGTCGGGTCACCCGTGCCGACCAAGCGAACTGCTCTCCCAGCGGAATGCTATCCGGGAGGGCCTCCCCAAACAGGGCAAGCTGCCGAGCAGGATGCTGGCTGCACAGCTCTCAGCATTTCTGAGCAGCAGGCACAAATGGGCAACATGCGGCCAGGCTGAGGGTGGACGGCCCATGGTTTCACCTGATTCTGATGTCGCGCAACGCGCAACGCGAAGGGCAAG